ATAAAAATAGTTTCGTTTATAAATTAGAGGTGACGTTTCGGGCAATGACCCTTGTTCATAGCAATGTTGTTGTGAGGAGCGCGCAATTTCCCCCCATCATCATCACCATAAATATGAGCAGCTAAGCCAATTAAGTGAGCTCAATAAATGTATTGATGTATACTACATACAGCCCAGATGTCTTGGTCAGCGTGGAAGAGTAGGCCAAATACTCTGGAGCGGGGCTCTCTGGAGCTCCCTCTAGCGGAGGCATTTTATCCGCTAGCAGTGACGAGCGCAGGCTATTGCAGGGCTGCGCCTTGAGCTTTGCGTGTGTTTTTTTTTACCGGGTCAGACAATCAGTAAACTCAGTAAATATGTATATACCCTGCATGTACTGCATAGCCAAGTGCCACGCGTGGTCTTCCTCGGTGCACCGCCGTCTCGAGTGTCTCAGCGCGCGTCTTCACTCCGCAGAGCTCGGCAACTCCGTCTCGTCACGGGCAGTCAGGGGCAGCAGCCAGGGGCAGCAATCACGCGCCGCTCTGCCCTCTGCTTCAGCAGCGAGGTCCCCGTGATGAGTTACGCCCGCTCCGTCACGGTCATCGTTGACCAAAATCAAATAAAAGCACGGAATTAACTCTCCTTTAGGACGTGTTGGATATTTGAGTTGAAAGCGTATTTTATTTTTTGGGGGAAATGATGTTCGAAAACGGTTAATTATATATTTCATCTTCTTGGTTCTTTCAGTAAAGTCACGTAGAAGGGAAATAATATAATAATAAAAATTCAACATAATAAAATACAATTCTCACTATTGAGAATTGTATTTTATTATGTTTTATTTTCTCACTATTGAGAATTGTATTTTATTATGTTTTATTTTCTCACTATTGGAGAATTGTATTTTATGATGTTTTATTTTTATTATTTTATTATTTCCCTTCTACGTGACTTTACCGAAATAACCAAGAAGATGAATCCCTGCAGTCACGAAAGCTTTAAATCGATGTATATTTAATGTTGTGGAAGGTGGGGAGGTGGGGGGTTAAAAGACACATTTTTCATAGACGCCGCAAAACCTGGATCCCTGGCACGCTCAGGGAGTGCGATATTTGACAGAGCGGTGATACCGCTGCTGCTGCCGCTGCTGCTGAAGAGAGATGGGGGCAGAGGGCAGGGGACGATGGGAGAAGATGGCAAAGGAGAGGGGAGGAAGGTGGGAGATGAGAGGGAATGGGGAAGAATGAGAGAGGAGAAGGATGAGAGAGGAGAAGGTGGCCCTGGAGGGGAAACGTCTGGCCAGCAGCGTGGGCATCTTCCGCGCTCTGGTCGGAGCCAGGGTGTGTGGGCTGGAGTTCCGCCATGCGCGGCTGACTTACGCCATGCCGGCCTTCAAGGAGCAGTGGGCGATGGAGGAGGCCGTGTGCTCGGTGGCAGATGACGGGGAGCTCTGCATGCTGATATGAGCTACCCGTCGGAGGCCGTTGGACTGCGAGAAGGGCTGCGTGCAGAACGAGAGAGTGAGCGAGATAGTGATCGAGAGAGTGACCGAGAGAGTGAGCGAGAGGTGGGGGTTTACATAAAGCAAAGTTATTTTAAAAAATTACGAAATGATGAACGAATCAAAGTGCCGACTACATCGAGCATCTTCTTGTTTCCACTGATCGTAAAAAAAAGGATAATGGGATGGGAGAGTTGTGGGAAGGAAGATGGCAGAGGATATGGGAGGAGAAAGCCAGAGAAGGCTGGGAGGTGGACGATGGAAGAGAGACAGGAGGATGTCAGAGAAGGATGGGAGGATGATGGGATGAGGCAGCAGAGGAGGATGGACGAGGGCAGGTGGGGTGGGTTCAGCAGGATGGGGGAAGAGTATTCGACGGGAGGTCTGGCTCGGGATGTCACGAATTGCTGTTACATATCGCGGCCCTATGCAGCCGTCTGCGACTGGGGTTATGGGTTAGAGGTCGGTATTGGGGTTATATTAGGTTTGGGTTTAGGGTCAGGATAGGGTTGTTGTTAATGCGATGATTAAGCTACAGTGCTAGGGAGATGCAATTGTTGACGTTAGTGTTGGGGATGGACTCGGGATGGTGCCAGTGCTCGGGTCAGCTTGTTGTTAGTGTTGGGCTGGAATCGCTGTTAGTGGTGGAGTGAGGCTATTGTTATGGTTTCACTGGGATTACGTGTTAGGGCTCACAACAACAAACGGAGCGCCGGGCGGCTAAACGCAGCACGCTGGCACAGTAAGGGACACGGGTGGTGCATCTGCCAGTCATCTGGCACCTGGGTCTGTCCCGTGACCTCCTGCCATGCGGGCGTTCGACACTTCACGTGGCCTTAAAGTGCACATAGCATGGCACGAGCGCCGTGGTGACGTCACCGCCACTTCGTGGCAAATGGCGGTTGTTGTTTTTGTTGTTGTTTGGGCTCCGCGGTCACGTGACGAACCTCCTGGAAGTCGCCCCTCCCTGTGCAGGTGCTCGGGTTCGCGCACGGCCATGTGGGAGATCACGTGACGGCAGGTAACATCTGCCCCCCTCCTCCCCATGGCTGCTAAACATTTCCACGTGGTGCTAACTAAACCAACTTCGTTGAGCTAGCATTTGTGACCAGGTCGCTTCTGAAAAATTTCGTGACTGCAGGAATTCATGTTGTTGGTTTTTTCGGTGAAGTCTCGTAGATAGAAAATAAAATAAAATAATAATAAAATTAAATAACATAAGAAAATTAAAATAATAAATTGAAAAAAATGTAAGCAAAAAACCCACGTTTCGAAACGTCGTGGGTTTTTTGCTTTAATTATTTTTTGATTTTATTATATTTGCTTTTATTATTTTAGCTTTTATTATTTTCAATGTATTATCTGTTATTTTTATTTTCTATCTACGTGACTTTACCGAAAGAACCAATAATATATATTTTTTATATATTTTTTTAAGTAATTTTTTTACCTTTCCCATACTTTGCACTCCTATCGTGTTTTTGTATTGTTGTTATTGTAAGATCCTGACCCGCCCCTACTGGACATCTGTGAAAAAGAGCTTCATAGCTCATCGGATTCCTCCAAGACAAATATTCTGAGTCTCCTTCTGTGCGTGAGAGGGGGAGCGGTAGTGCAGTGGCGGCGACCCCAGTTCGTTTCCCGCTCACGGTCACCACCAGTGCCGATTATCTTAACCGGTCCTGAGCCTCCTCTAGGTCGACTCAGCCTCAAGTGAGTACCGGGTGGGGGAGATGCTGGCCACCCACCCCCTCGTGCTTGTGTCTTTGTGCATTACTGGCCTTAATCGATGTTCACGAACGGCACTTGCCCCCGCAACCTGCTTTCTCTTCACGGGTGGATCTTTGTGACTATAACAGTCGTTTAGAAACTGCTGTAAAAGTCAACGGAATTGGCCAAGGTGCATTCATTGACATGGACGAGCATCGCCGAGGGCAATTCGCCACGTGCCTGAGACGCGGGGAGCGGGGCACGGGAGGGGGTTTTGGTCGCTTTACGTTGAAACGAGGAATGTGGAATTTCCACCTGCTGTCTGGCCCGCCCGGACTCGCCTCAGCAGGGAGACACTGACACCCTTGCGAGCTTGAGCAGGGGAGGTCCGACAACCCTGTGGCTTCTGAGCCGCACGCGGTCTCTTCACAGGGCCGCTTCGTGACGCTCCGGATGAAGGGTGACCTCCGCCGTCTCGTATTCAGAGGCGCTTCTGCGGCCGTCTGGAACGCTCTTTTTTTTGCTAGTAGGGAATCCGCTGGAGCTATATGCGCGAGTAAAGCATCTAGGTTGAAATAAAATGAAATAAATCACGATGTTTCGGACGAAACGTCGTGATTTATTTTAGTTTATTTCTTCCTACGTGACTTTACCGAAAGAACCAAAGAGTATGGATTCCTGCAGTCACGAAAGCTTCAAATCAAGATTATCATCTCGGTTGAAAACCCGCTTATTCAGAACTGCTTGTTGCTGTGTTTAGTTTCTTGTTATTTTCCGCGAACGGTTGGCCTAACATTGCGGCTCTTGAAAGTCTGAGGTTTTTTTTTACCGATTTCGACAAACACGGTTCGATTGCCGACCCCTGCCGAGGAAGAATGAATTACTCCGCGCGTGCTGCTGCTGCTGCTTATCGGTTTGCAGTGGTGCACAACCACCAACAACAACCAGCTCAACACGTTCTTCAACAGCAACACCGCGTGGCCTCACAATGTCGCAACAAAATATCATCGGTGATGTTTCGGGCAATCACACCTCGTCATAGCACGTGAAGGGCCATCGCCTGAAACGTCGCCTCGTAAAATAAGAGCTGATAAAGGAAGACTGCACGTCGCTTACAAAATGGGGCCTTGATGGGATTTCCATGTTGAACACGTGTTCTGATTAGCCCAGTTAAATCGGCGTGTGAATAATTACCCAATGATAGCGATTATTGAGATAAAGACAACCCCTACAATAATCAAAACGTACAACTAAATAAACTCATTATCAATCTCTCTGGCCTCTCTGTGTCCTATGAAGAAGGTGCATTGCCCGAAACGTCATCTAGTATATATTATCCCTTTTCAGGCCACAAACACACACACATTGTTAGTGACTGTGTTGAGTTTTTTTGTTACGAGCTGAAGACTCTATTCATTAAAATTCCGCACAGCCCCAACGACAAAGATCCCCCGTATATCCTTTAACAGACCGTTGGGGCAAGTGCTGTGGGTGACCACCACGCCCGGCCGCCTTTGTCTCCTCACTGACAATGTTTACACACCGCACCCAGCTACACATTTTATTTAAGCCCGAGTCGACCTACGCAAGGCAAGAAGTCCCAAGACCGCACCCGTTCAGATGATCTTCACTCACCGGCGTTGGTGGTGGCCGTGAGCGGGAATCGAACTCGGGGATGGGTTCGTGGCGCAGCGCTCCGCCACCGCTGCCCACATTCCACAGAGCCCCCCCACCAGCCAATGTAGATACACAATGCCCCCCCTCTGACTATGGAGACATAATGCAGGGATGCCCTCGGTACACTTACCACGCTGCAGCAGCAGCAGGAGGCCTTTGTGTCTTGGTCTCCCTATTTTTTCTCGGCCACGACGCCTTTAATTAAACCGCCACGTTTGCCCAGCTGTTTGTCTCTCCCCTCCGCTCACCCCCCCCCCTAACCCCCACACCACCTCCCCCACCCGGACCGAATGGATTTGTCGCACAATGAGAAAACGAATCGAGTCGCAGCGGTGAAAATCCGCGCGCGTGAATTCCGGGCGCGAAGTTGCCGCTCGCTCACTTTGCAAACGCGAAATACCATTTCACTCACCTGAGGCTACGTCCGACAAAGCCTCAACCCCACCCACCCATCCTCTCTCTCGTCTACAACATACACAGTAGAGATGTAAAATACTCTGCCCTCTCTGTAAGCCTCTGCGTGAAGAAGGCCAGTCGCCCGAAACGTCGAATTCATTTCCTCTTGCTGACAATAAAAGTATTTTGATTTAAAGCTTTCGTGCCTGCAGGAATTCATATTCTTGGTTCTTTCGGTAAAGTCACGTAGAAGGGAAACAACAAACAATATAAAACCGCCACTTTTTTTTAAAATTTTCTTTCTGTGGATTGCACATCTGATGACGATTGCTTGTGTTGCAGTCGAAACGTGAGAATTTTTATTGTTTTATATTTATCTATTTTTTTTGTTTCCCTTCTACCTGACTTTACCGAGATAACCAAGAATACAAGTATTGCCATTTTTCAATCAAGGGGTTAACCAAGGAAGTGTAATCACTGAGACAAGAGGAGGAGGTGATTTTGTCGAGTTGTGGGGGCCTCTCGAGGGTTATGGAGCTACAGAGTTTAAGGGTTCAGGTTCGGACCAGGCCTGACTTTGTGAGAAGAAACGGGTTTGTGTTGTAGTGAGGGTTAGGGCTAACGGCTGGGGTGACGGGGCAGCGCTAGAGGTAGCGTCTGCTTGGCTAATGAGGCGTAGGGGTAGAGTTTATGATCCAGTGGGTTGTGGCTCCTGCCTGGTCAGCACGTGCATTAAGGTTCGAGTCTGGTTGTTCCAGATCGGTCAACCTGCGGCTCTGTAAGGACTGCTGTTTCGTCGCGTTATTGATTACACTGGTCAACACACTTTTTCTGGCATAAGGTATTTCAACGGTTTTAAGGTAATTTTGGGGTGCTGATTCCAAATCTGGCATCAGTTTTTGTCTATCTATTGCATTTTCAATAAAAAACTGCAGAAGAAAAATATTAAATAAATGTGGATATCTACATAAAATGATATTATAAACACACTATCCTAAAAATACAGCACCATATTTTAACACTAAAGCAGTCACTGACTCGCAACAACTTGCAATCATAAGTGACAGAGTTAATTTCGGGTAAAATCAATGAAAATGGGGTATGCCAATAGCATAAAAATGAGATGAGATCAGATTTGGAATCAGCACCCTGAAATTAGTCTAAAACAGCTGCAAAAGTCCAGGCCAGAACAATGTTTTTTTTTTGTTGACCAGTGTTATAAAGGACCACCACCGTATCGTATTCACCCAAATGCATTGCGGATATTCAAATATCGAGAGTTTTTTTTTTAAATCGAATCTCGAAAAATGGCTCCTACACCCCTGGTCTCGCGTTAGGTCGTGGTTCGGGGCTATTATCTGGTTGGCGAGTGAGCGCATGGTTAGCAGTCGAGTTTGATTGGCTGCGAGACGAGTCTATCGTCTGATTGGCTAGCGTAGTGCTCGACCCACAGAGGGCCCGGTGCCTGTGTCTCCCCTTACAACACGGCACCACACTCCGGGGACAATGATCTGGGTCAACAGCTGCGCTGCTTGCCAACATTGCGACAGCTCTCGTCAGCTTCCCCCCGCACAGGCACCCTGCGCGCACGTGTGGAGCAGCTGGGCTTGTGACCCCCCCTGCCCCCCCCCCCGTGCCCCCCCCCTGTGCCTATCCACCCCCCCTCCCCAATCCATCCCCCACCCATCCACCCTCCCCGCCCCGTCCACCCACCCTTCGCTCCTACCCACCCGCCCCCAATAATCCATCAATTAATCCATCAATTACCACAATCCAAGAATCGCGATTCACAAAACAATCGGAATCTTTGAATATGTTGAATATGGGAGGGGGTCGACCCAGCCCATCATCGCTCCAGGGGTCGATAAGTCGAGTTACGAGGCCAGTGTTAATGTCGTTGTTACCGTATTCTCGGGATTACAAGACGCACTTTCCTACCCCACACGCTGACGCCTCCTCCTGCATTTTAATAAAAAAAAATGTGGCTCGTGGTCGTTTCGCCCCCCGTCATTCTGTCCTTTCAACGATGACCGTGACGGAGCGGCCGTAACTCATCACGGGGCCCGTGACTGCCCGTGACGAGACAGAGTAACCGAGTCTCTGCGGAGTGAAGACGCGCGCTGAGCCGCTCCAGTAGCGCTACTCGAGTTACTCGAGACGGCGGTGCACCGGGAAGACCACGCGTGGGATTTGGCTACACACAGTACGTGTACTGTCTATGAATAGATTTCGTCTCCGTGTGGCTGATTGTTGATGGAGAGCAAATGTCATTTTACATTGAGTTTGAGACGGATGATTGAGTCAGGAGTAGCGTGGTGGTGTATCGCTCTAATGATACTTCCTTCATCTAGATCTCTGAGTCTAAGGGTTTCTATGTGAGTCTATGGTTCTGTGTGACCCTGCGGGTCTCTATGTGAGTTTATGGTTCTGTATGTGACCCTATAGATCTGCGTGTCTCTATGCGAGTCTATGGTTCTGTATGTGACCCTATAGATCTGTGTGTCTCTATGTGAGTCTATGGTTCTGTATGTGACCCTATAGATCTGTGTGTCTCTATGCGAGTCCATAGCTCTGTGTGACCCTGCGGGTCTCTGTGAGTCTATGGTTCTGTATGTGACCATATAGATCTGTGTGTCTCTATGTGAGTCTATGGTTCTGTGTGACCCTGCGGGTCTCTATGTGAATCTATGTCTCTATATGTGACCCTATAGATCTGTGTGTCTCTATGTGAGTCTATGGTTCTGTGTGACCCTGCGGGTCTCTATGTAAGTCTATGGTTCTGTATGTGACCCTATAGATCTGTGTGTCTCTATGTGAGTCTATGGTTCTGTATGTGACCAGATTGATCTGTGTGTCTCTATGCGAGTCCATAGCTCTGTGTGACCCTGCGGGTCTCTGTGAGTCTATGGTTCTGTGTGTGAAACTATGGATCTGTGCGAGTCTGTGGGTCTCTGTGCGACTCTGGTTGGGTCTCAGTGTGAATCTACGGATCTGTCTTCTTCTTTGCACGGCCAGATGTTCACGTCGAGCTACAGCCGTGATTCCACACCGAGGTGGTTAACGAGCGAAATAATCGCATCGTGAGTAGCAGAGTGGCGCTGCGCCACCGTGATGATGCCTCCTCTCCTTCATATCCGTCGAGTCGTCGCTGTTCGTTGCACGGGTTTCGTCCTGGGAGAGTCATTGACCGAGTTGATAATATCGACGATGAAAGGGGAACTTGCACGCTCCTCGCATCAATAGTTCATAACTTAGAGATAACTTGAGAGAGGGTCTCACCGAACCTTTGACTCTGGTCACCCAAAACAGACCAGGGCGCGCTCGGGGGTGAGCGGTCAGCACCGCGCCCGGCCACCTTTGTCTCCCCAGTGCTGACGTTTACACACGGTACCAGGTATTAAACTGAGGCCGAGTCGACCTAGAGGAGGGAGGCCCTGGCACTGCTTCAAATAATCGCCCTTGTTTCGTCGCCGGGTTCGTAGCGCGGCGCGCTAACCACTGCGCCACCGCTCCCCACTTACATTCAACACACACGTGGAACCCGGACCTTACCCGCGTACGACTCGCCGTGTTTTTGCGTGATTAATAACAGCAGACTCGGGAGTTTCACATCTGACTGCACAGGTTTCATTCAACAAGGAGCTCATCACGACCACCGGAGCCAACAAAAATAAATCACGCGAGCGGCAAAACGTGAAATTGCATGGGGGGGGGAGGGAGAAAAGTGCAACACTTTGTGTGTGTGGAGAGAGTTTCTTAATTCGTTTTTTATACAATAGCAATCAATAACGATAATAATATTAACATCAATATAAAATCATAATAATTTACGGACCTTTGTTAAACCACTGCTGAATAAAGGACTCACCCCCACACCCCCAATGTCGTGCCAGTCATGGGGGGTGGGGGGGGGGTGGAGGGGGGCGGTGACCATACTTCACCGCGCTGGTCAGTGTGGCCTGGTGATGTGGGTGGGGGGCGTTACATCACTCGCCAACTTGATGTTAGCCGGGAGTCGAACTCGGCTCGCAAAGGGTTAATGGTGTGACGCAGTGCGGCTGTCCACACTGGGCCACCCGCTTCCACCCCATTCATCCAGCAGTGGATATATCAAGGGCTGTGGGTTTTTCCCACGTTTTAATATCTCGTTAAAATTAAATGTACTGTATTACATACACCTCATACGCAAATACTGTATATACACAAAGACAAAGAGGCCCGCCCACCCCGTATAGCCTTCATAGACTGCAGGGGACAAGTGCTGTTAGCGAGCACCTATGAAGGCCGGACCATCTCCACGCTTGCCCGGCCTTCCTTCCTTCGTATCCCCAGTGCCGGTGGTGGACGCATCCCACCAGGTACTCATTTACGGCTGAGTCAACCCCATGGGAGACACCCGGGCGAGATCGTTTTTTTTTCGGATCTCCCGCACGCCACGGATGTTGGCCGTCGTCGAAAAATGGAACTCACGCAGCCCGACCCGGGTTCGTGGCGAAGTGCGCTAACCACTGCGCCACCACTCCCCACTCATACACTCACGCACATGTACACACACACACATGCAGACATGCACTAACATCAATATACCCACACGCACACACTTGACTAGGGGAATAGATATTAGGGCGCACCTCTTCATCGATTAAAATCAATGTTTCTCGATTCTTAAACGCTGTGTCCCTTGTGTCGATGTGACCTCGCTCCCAGCCAGCAGAGGCTGCTACGTTCACGGCGTTTTAAAACGAATCGATTACCAATCACTTGCGAATTACAATTCATGGGAACTAACTTGCGGGAAGGTTATGTGGGTGTAGTGGGAGAGAAAAAGACAAAGATCCCCCATATAGACTTTGATAGACTGGAGGAGCAAGTGCTGGTAGCGAGCACCTATGAAGGCCGGCACGGCACACGAGGGGGTGGGTGGCCAGCACCATGCCTGGCCGCCTTTGTCTTCCCGGTGCTGACGCTTTTACACATCGCACCATGCATTCATTTAACGCTGAGCTGACCTAGGAGAGAGGTCAGGACCGGTTCAGATAATCGTCACCGGTGTTGGCCGTGAGCGAGAATCGAACTCGGGTCGCCGGGTTTGTAGCGCAGCGCGCTAACCACTCCGCCACCGCTCTCCATCCCAGATACACACACACACGCACTCACCCACACTGTTTTTCAGTAATAATATTAATAATACTGTAGCCATAACGACGATAATAAATAAGCAACTTAGTCAAACGGGACTGTCGTAAAATAGGTCAGACGCGGCGTTAAAGCGATATTAATATGAATAACAATTATCCGCATTCGAAGTTTAAGTTATCATCGAATTCACGTAATTCCACCCCCCTCCCCCACGTCTCCATACCGCGAGACGTGAGTTACCCACGCGACAACCGTCAACTGGAACCAATCGCAGAGCACCCGCTTAGTAAACACATTGCCAGCAATAATCACCTTTGTTTTGGTATCTCCACGTACAACAAATACAAATTGAGCATTTTTGTTGTTGTTGTTGTTTATCTACGGAGGATCGGCGTGAGCGCCTCCACCCAACACAAAGGGGCTCTAGGACCGCGGGTTCATCTCCGTTCTGGAGCTCATCAGCGGAGTCGCTTTTGGTGGCCGATCCAGACCACTTGGGGCTGCAATGGTGGCCGGAAGATGGGCAGTACGGCAAGTGAGGTTTCGCGAAGCTGTCTGTTCGGGCAAATTATTATTTTGGTGATGCTGCTGCGTAGGCAGCTGTGCACAAAGCACAAATTAAAAACAAACATTCAAAAAATCACATTCGTCAATAATGACACCCACGTTGTGGCCGTCAAATATTTGCCACAAATTTGAGAGTTGCCCGCAGACGACTCGATTGGAACGACCAACACGGCCAATCGCTGCCCCCCCAGCCTCCTAGGGGCCATCCATTGAGTACGTACGCATGGAGGGGGGAGGGGGGTTAACCCAAATGCGTACGCTTGCGTATGGGGGGTCTACTGACAATGTACGCATAGGAAACGGGGGGGGGAGGGTGAAGCCTCGATAATAATTTGTCTACATTGGCCTTCAAATGAGTTAGAGAGTCCGTCGGTGGACTATCTGTTCGTTTAAACACTTTAATATTATTCATCATTGCTCGTTTCTGCGTGGATTAAATATCGGCCGTTCTACAGGATTCGGGGGGTGCGCAGGCAGGTGGGGGTGTAAAAAGTCCGCGTGCGTACAGGGACGGGGGGAGGGGTCAAGTTTCGACAGATTTTATGCGTACCTGCGAAATGGATGGCCCCCTACTGGCAGACTTAAATGCCCCCAGGTCACCTCGAGCCCTGCTCTCACACACGGCCACTGAAACACGAATTTCTTTAGATCCGCTTCTCGTGCGTTACGTTTCATTTGTCTCCCCACCCCGCACCTCCGATTAGCACGGTTGGCTTCGTACGGTGCGAAAGAAGTTCGACACGCGGTGCATACTCGCATGGTCGATCCAATGTAAAGTTGACGCTCGAGACGGTCTTTGACCGGGTGATATGGGTAGGGAAATATTGGTAGGATAATTTTGGTAGGATAATATTGGTAGGATAACTCCCTTCATAGAGGGGGTGATCCTAACAATATCATCCTACCACTATCATCCGACCAATATCACCCTCTATGGAGGGGGTTATCCTATACCGCTATTATCCTACCAATATTATCCTACCAATATCATCCTTTGTGGAGGGGGGTTAGTGAGGACACTTCTTACCAACAACACCATCTGGTAAAGCCGGCAGTGAACACACTCGGTTCGCAATCCCGGCTTTGTTGATGAACTCCAGAAAGGCGAAACCCGGCTTCGGGGCGTGGCGATTTGAACCGAGACACCGCGAGGTCGTGACTCCTGGAAGGCCACTGGGGACAGATGAAGTCAAGGAGGCAAATTCTCCGCCTCATTACGGTTGCCTGCGTTGAAATAGGACCCATCCTATACAGTGTGTGGGGGGGGGGGGGGTCATTGCCTATGACCATCTGATAGTTCACCAGCATTATCGGTTCAAGTGGTGTACCGACTTCTGCTGATGAGACACCGCGCGTCGAAACCGGCCAGCACGATTTTCTTGTTTGTTGTTGCTCGAATATGAACCAATACTGCCGAATGTGCGCGCTCCCAGAAGGCCGTGCGGTTGACGGGAAGTGTAAACAATGGGTTAGTAAGACAAAAAGTCACTTTCGTTATTTATCCCCCCCAAAAAAATTGTCCACCGCAGCGCTGCGCGGAAGCTTTGCCAGTTCGGTGTTGTACAGTACTCCGTGTGACTACCCCAACTCTCTTCGTCGCCCTCCGGACTGTGTGGCCCGGCGCAGTTGCACCGCCTTCGCACCCGAAGACAACAACAACAACTTGAGATACGCCACTGCCCATGGCTTCACACAAGACCGGGCCTGTGCACGGACGAACACAGGTGCTCGTGGAGTCACCGAGAGACCCACAGATTCGTACGAGGATCCACAGATTCACCTCGTACGAGAGACCCACAGACAGTGGCATGGGCCCGTAGGTGTACAGGGTTGGTACCCGATGTCTTTGTGACCCCCATTTAATTAGCTGACCCCCCCCCCAGACCGCGTGGTGGCCACCCCAAACCACGTGCCAGTCGCCCCACACGCACCACGCTCTGCGAGGACGACACTGCTTCGTCTCAAGCGCCCAATTGTTCACCACCGCCGCCTCCTCCCTCTCAAGCAGAGCTCCCCCACCACCACCACACGATCTACCTCTGTAGATGTAACCCCATCATCCAAACTTTCTTCCTTTCAAGAAATTCGACAAGCCACGATGCCACGTCTCTTCTCAGTGCATCCCGTTAAGCACCATTTCGTTCCACCGGCTCTCTCTCTCTCTCTCGCACACTATGAGAGTTTGCACAATAATTACACTTCTCTCGTTTTCTTCTTCACATAAACGCAAGAGCAGCAAGTACGGTGCTAGATACGTGGCCAGGAATTTGCAGCGGCAGGTAATTGCTCTGGAGGTGCGATCTGCCCCGTACCACCCACCTCCCCGTCTCCACGTGCGAGGGTTCTGTATGGTTCAGGGCTCGTGTCTTGACAAGGATTATAAAGTGCTCTCGATCGACCACCAGACCCGCTCGGCACCCACGATGGATTCGCATTGTTCAGTTAACAAACACTCGTTCGGTTAACAAACACTCCGTTGACGAACACTCGTTTTCCCTCCACCGTCGATTTTTGGGACCCCAAATGTAATCTCGACGACTGTATAGATACATCAGCTCAAGCCTCCCGTGTTTAATCACGTGACTCGCGTGTGGCCACTCCCACTCTGAACCCCCCCCCCCCTGCCGCCCACTGTGAAAACAGACGCCGCTCCCTCTGTGCAGATTACTTCTCAACTCGCTCCTTCCTCTCGTCCCCTCCTCTCCTCCCATCGTCACCCCGCGCTCATCCGCCCCAAACATCTTGGCCCCGTCATTGCTTCTCCCCCCTCCCTCCCTCACCTTGTCGAATTCGGTCAACAAAACCTCAATATGTCGAGAGCCGCAACGCACGTGGTGAATAGGAGACGGCACCTCGTGAGTAACGTCAAACCGCACCGTCCCTCACCACTATTTCACAAGAGCACACGCGCCGATTCGTAACGCCGCACTGCAAATCACCGATGGCCTTTTAGACGTTCACCGTTTATCGAAAATAATAGTGAGCTTAGTTTTTGTTGCTGTTAAACTTTGCAATTATAGTGTCGGCAGGCACGAAGCAGCGGCTCCGTAGCTGCAGGTTGACGACGACCCTTTGGGTCTAGAGAGATGGTGTGGTTGATGGCATCACCGGCAAGTCCCACAATCTTCATCATCATCACTTTCACCATCATCTACCAGAATAACAATATGATTATCATCATCACTGTAGTCTATAGCCGTCATCAATAATCATCATCATCACCATCATCTACCAAAATAACAATATGATCATCACTATCGTATATAACCATTATCAATAATCATCATCACTATCGTCGATGACCATCATCAATAGTCATGACGATCATCATCACCAACCATCCTCATCACAATTATCACCATCACCATAATCATTGACAATATTATAATCCTGATCCCTATCATCATAATAATTATCACCACCACCACCATCTGTTGCCATAACCATTTTCATCTTATCCCTGATCTCTAGAACCATTAACCACCTCAATATAAGCATCGTTATCGCCATCATCACGACTGTAGTGGATTAGTTCCCCACACCCACATGGGCACGGTACTGCATGTGTGTGTGTGTTGAACTTCTTTCGAACCTTGCGTAGTCTACCGTGATAATCGGTGGTGCCTTTATCCACAAAAAGCCCAGTTTCACGTTCACCATCGCGTATATACTGCAGTTATTGAGACCATAATGCAGTTATTTTTGGGTTAGATCGCGTAAGTATATAAATGTGTCGTTAAACCCGCCACCATCCGACACAGCCAATTAATAAGGTTTGTCACGTAAACAGAACGTGCCAATTCGTTTCTAGTACAGCAACACCGGTGTGTTGGAGAGGAAAGCCACAAACATTTAAAATCTGAGTACGACGTTTCGCCAGTAATTACAACTAGCTTCATCAGGCGACAGATTTGTGGAGAAATCTTCCATATTCGTTCCTTAAATAGAGGGGGAGATGCGATGACGTCACTCGTGTGCTCTTCTTGCGCGGAATGGGGGGAGGAGAATTAATGCATATAAATGACTATGGGAATCCATTGCCGTTCGAGTTATTTATATGGTAATCATATTATGCATGCGCATTAGGCAAGCCCATTATTCTTGTACCTGGTGGCGAGTTTAACGACACATTTATATATCTACGCGATCTAACCCAAAAAAAACCTGTACCATGGATGATATTGGTCGCGAAAGCCTACGAGTTATTGAAACGTTGGTTAATACACCACCTTAAACGCCCCCTGTATGGACTGCACGTGGGGAAGTGTGGCTGCTTGTCTACCCTGTGGGCGTGTTTCTTTGCATCTACCAGTCTCCAGGTGTGCGTCCACCCACGTGACCTTCATGCGTGCCCACCTGTGTATCTACCTGTGTCCAGGTGCGTGTTCATCCGTGTGGGGAGCGGTGGTGGAGCGGTTAGCGCGCTGCGTTGCAAAGGAGACCGGGCGTGGTGCTGTGCCAGCCTTCATAGATGCTCAGAACAGCACTTGCCCCGAATCTGTTCGAGGCTACATGGATGATCTTTGCTGCTTTTTTTCTGTCTGTGTGTTGGTTTGTGTGAGCGCGTGCTACATCAAGAAAGAGACTGCGGTGATTAAGAGAGAGTTTGTGTTCATGGACAGACTGGCTTCCGCCACAGGAATGTGGAAGGGAGAGACAAAAAAAAACTCTTTAAACAGAGTGATTCAACGATTGTGTTGGTGGATCGCACAAAGATGAGAGGCCCGAATCGGCAGGTGATGAAGACGACGACGACGATGTCTGATGAACATGCTTGTCGCGGGAAACGTGCGGTCGAGGTGCCGCCTATAGCAAGCAGTGGGTACGTTCAGCAAGTAGGTTTGAGCGCTCCCCAACCCCCCCCCCCCCCCCCGAACTCCGTCCGTGTTGGGTTTTCTCTGGGCGTTCCAGTTTTCCTCGTCCACGCGCACACACACGCACACACACGCACGCGCGTGGAGACGCGTGACCGTATTCCATAAAGAAGACTCGGCTCCATGTCCCACGTGTGGAGCTGAGATTCAGAGAGTGAGGGGGCCGCCCCCCCACCCAAACTGGTATGCTGACCGGCGAGCGAAAAAAAATAACGAAACGTGCGAATCCGGCTCGTGGCCCCAGCAGAGCCAGGGGTGCGGGTCTACGAAGGTCTACGAAGGTCTACGAAGGACGTGCTCATTTTGCGCGATGTCTGTCGGCACGCTACGAGGTCACACGCGTGTCGTACGCATGTGTTGCGGAGCGGCGTCAGCGGCGCGGCACGACTCGGCACGACTCGGCTTTTGTGTCCCTCCCGCGTCCCCACGTGTCCCCCCGTGTCCCCCCCCCCGGGCCGGCTGGCGTGTCCCCGGCACGGCACGATTGTGCCGGCGGGAAAGGGCGAACGAGTGTCGAGACTCGGTGAGCCTTTCTCGGTGGAAAAAAAACAGAGACGTTGAGACGTCGCATCAAGCGCGGCTCGCAAAACGCGGGGCCAGTGGGGGCCACGCTTCCTACACGAATGCGTTTAGTTTGTTGTCCTTCCCCCGCACCTCCGATTATAGCCACGGTTGGCTACGCGCGGTGCCAACGGAGTTCAACGTACACACACGTCGGAACGAATTCAGGCGGTTTGGTGAAACCGCTTTGGCTAAAATAACTTTGGCTAAAACCAACAGCTAAAAAAAACGAGAACGAATCCTGCTTCAATTTTGGAAGCGTTTCAATGTCTGGAAATTGCCGCCCGTCCATCGCGGTCACCGTTTTTATTATTATTATTAAATGATTAAGTGCAGGTAAAAAAACACCGGTCGACTGCAAATGGTTTCACCCCCTCTTCATTCATTCATTCAAGAGCAAGTTTAAACGATTTACGGTTGGGATATAAGTGACGTTCATATTTCGTTTTAAGAAGGTCTTCAAGAGTAAAAGGTTTTTTATAATGTGTGTAAGCGGTATGGTTTTGAAGGTCCATTATAAAAACAATGGGGGGTGGAAATGGAACCGCCAAATGCGTTGTGGCGCGCGGGAGGTTCACCAACTCAGGAGGTTCACCAACTGGGGAGGTTCACCAACTCGGGAGACGTGACGTGGAGACCCGGTCCACGAGGATTTGTTACGGAAGCCGAGAGGGTAAAACGAGGCGGGTCTCACAAGCCACCGGGTTTACATGAAGAATCATCATCAACGACAACGACAGCAACGGGGACAACCCCGATGGGAACAACAACAACAACAACGACGACGAAGTTAATAAATAACGAGTTTAAACGGCGCGGACGGATAACGGTGGAAGTGTCGCGAGCACGGCCTGGCACCCCCCCTGGAGCCCGCCCTCTCCACGAGCCGCTCGTGCGGTCGGCCATGTTGAGCCTCGTGCGGTCGGTGGTGGTGGTTGGGGGGGTGGTGAGGGTTTGGTGGTTGTTGGGCGAGGGGGTGAGGCGTGGGGGAGCGGAAGGGGCGGGCGGGCGTCTAGCCGTCGTCGATCTGCAGAGCGATAAACTCCTGGATGCATTTGCGGTACTGCTGCTCGGTCGGGCTGCTGCTGGGGTAGTGGCCCGGGTGCGAGTAGAAGCCCTCCGACTCGCGCATCTCCTCGTTCATGCGCGCCAGACGCAGCCTGCACGCACGCGGGGGACACGCACACGCACGCGCGTTCACACGGCCAGGGCACACGAGGAAGCACGGGTAAATACACGGGTAAACTGACGGATAAACACACGGGTAAACACAGAAATAAACACGGACACATATGTACTAGTGTCCTCTTTCGCTTGTCTCCCCGCGTCCCCGTTGCTCTGTGCGTCTCCAGCTCCATGTGTCCCCCGCGTGTCCCCGAGTGTCTCTGTGTCCCTCCCGCGTCCCCACGTGTCCCCCCGTGTGTCCCCCCGCGTGTCCCCCCGCGTCTCCCCGCGCATTTGTGTCTCCCCGCGTCCCTGTGTCTCACAGCGTCACGATGTCGGCGTTGGCCGCCTGCACGGCGATGCCGAGTGGGTCCATGCCGCCCTCGTCCACTGCGTTCTGATTGGCTCCCCGCTTCAGGAAGAGGCACACCTGCCTGCAGGTGGGAGGGGGACACGGGGAGGGTGCATGGGAAGGGGGCACAGGGCGGCAGGTGGGATCAGGGAGGGCTTGGCGTGGCTTGTGTGGCGCGTATGGTAGGTGTGGAGAGCTCACCCAGTGTACCGCAGCTGTTCGGCGTAGTGGGTGTAGTGTATGTGGCGAGTGTGGTAGATGTGGCGAGTGGGGTGAGCTCACCTGGTGGACTCCATCTATGTGGTGTGCTGAGTGGGGTGTATGTGCTGATTTGCCACAGTAGGGGGGCACAGGTGGTGCAACAGCCAGTCATATCAGTTAGGGAACCCATGGCACCTGGGTCTGTCCCTTGACCTCCTGCCAGCGGGCGTTCGACACTTCACGTGGCCTTAACATGCACAACGCCTGGGACAAGCACCGGGGTGACGTCACCACCACTTAGTGGAAAATGGCGGTTGTTGTTTTTGTATGTGGTGAGTGTGATGGATGCGGTGAGTGTGGTGAGTGTGGTGGATGCGGTGAGTGTGGTGAGTGTGATGGATGCGGTGAGTGTGGTGAGTGCGGTGAGTGTGGTGAGTGTGATGGATGCGGTGTGTGTGGTGAGCTGACCCGGTGTAGCCCAGCTGCGTGGCGTGGTGCAGGGGGCTGCGATCTCGCGCGTCCCGCAGGTTCACGTCGGCTCCGTTCTGCAGGAGGAACTCGCACGCCAGCAGCGAGCCCTGCATCACATGCGCAACAAAGAAAAAGGTCCCCTATGTAGCCTGCGCACGTCTGTCGGAGCAAGTGCTGTTCACGAGCGCTTAATGAAGGACGTCACGGCACACCGGAGTGCGGCCAGCATCACACTCCAGCCATCTGTGCTGCTGTGTGATGTTTACACGTGGCACCACCGGGCACACAATTAAGGCCGAGTCGACCTAGGGGTAGGCCCAGAAGCCGTTCACATAGCATCGGCCACTGATGTTGGCCGTGAGCGTGAATGGAACTCGGGTCGCCGGGCTCGTAGCGAAGCACGCCAACCACTGCACCGCCGCTCCCCGCCCACACACGCACACACACACGCGCACACACACGCGCACACACACACGCACACACACACGCGCACACACACGCGCACACACGCGCAGGGATATGCGCACACAAAGACGGCAGCGCACGGCGTGTGGCTGTGGTGTAACGGTGAGCGCGCCGGACTGATCACCGGTTTGTTTCCCCGGGGTGGTGATAGACCCAACGGTGCAAGTTTCTTCAATCTCCCCCCACCAGCCGCCTCTGTCCACCCAGCAGTGTGCACCGCAGTTAGTCGATGGGCAGGTCGCGAGTGGGTGGGGTAAACTGTGGGTTTCCTAAACCTCTTCCTTGATGCCTGAGCAGCGTGGAAGAGTAGGCAAAATACCCTCTAGAGGGGCGCTCTAGAGTTCCCTCCTGCAGAGGCCCTTCTGCCGGCGGTGGCGCGAAGAAGCAACTGCGGGGCTGCGCCGTTATCTTAGACTTTACCATATCTGTGTGGTTCTGTTACGGTGTTGTCTTGTATTATGCCTGTGCAATATTGTCGTATTGTGTCGTATCAGTACCACCGTGTACAGCTAATGCTCACCCATCTCCTCACGACCCACCAACCCCGCCACGCCCGCCAACGCCGGCACGTATTGTGCTTGCCACAAATGAACCACAATACCTCACTGGTCGTCTCGTCTCGGAGCATAAAGCGTCACGGGAACTCTGCTCACCACAGCAGCAGCGGCGGCTTTTGGCTGCTGGCCATCGAACAAAGACGGCGGCCACCGCATCGCACGCTTCTGCGGCCGTCTGGAACGCTCTTCCTTCCGATATTAGGAAGCCACTGGAGCACTTTTAAGTGATCATCTAGATTGACAACTCATTTCTTGAGAACTGCGTTTTGTGTTTAGTTCGTTGTCCTTCCCCCACACCTCCGATTAGCACGGTTGGCTACGCACGGTGCGAAAGAAGTTGAATATACGAACTATTTTTTATTTTACCAGGTAAGGCCCACTGAGCTAGCAGTGACCTGGCCACAAAAAGAAACGAAGTGGCTTATCACGTGGAAATGTATGTTGATTACAAATGTGGAGGGAAATAGCGGAGGACCCTGGGAAAAATCCACGTGACCACGGGGAGAAAGAGAGACACGCAAACTCGAAGCATACAACAGGCGTCAGGGTCAGGATCGAACCCACGTAGTTAACCACCGCAGCACCCCACACACGCACGCACACACGCGCACGCACGCACGTACCCCATACACGGCGTAAACGAGCGGCGTCCGTCCCTCGTTGTCTGCGCTGGCGCCCCGTCCACCTCCGCCGTTGTTCCCTTCCTCGTCGTCCTCCTCCCCCTCCTCCCGCTCCTCGTCGTCGTCGTCGTCGCGCTCCCCAAGGCCGCTCGGCCGATTGACGTCGGCGCCGTGGGCCAACGCCTCGGCCATGACGGGCAGGCAGCGAGCCAGCGCCGCGCGGCGCAGCAGCCACGCTGGCGTCGCCTCCGCGGGGGGGCCGCGCAGCGCCAGCGAGCGCATCGCGGCCGACATGAGCAGCATGGTGGCGGACGACGAAGACGACGCCGCCGAGACGGCCGCGGCGGCCTTGGCGGTGGCCGTGGCGGTGGCCGCGTTGTTGCCGATACCCATCGTCGAGGCGATGGAGGAGGATTCGCCGTCTTGACGGAAGCCGCCCACTTCCTCCTCCTCGTCGGCTTCCTCTTCCTCCAGGCTCGAGTCGTCCGAGCACTCGCTCGCTAAGGTGGGAGGGGGAGGTGGTGGTGGCGGGCGGGCGGTGCTTTAGTGGCCGATAGTTTGTGTATTTCTTGCGTGTATACTTTTAATATTTTAATAGGAGCCCGGTACAGGACACAACTTGTGCCACGAGGAGGGGGCCTCATGGTCGATTGTTAAAAGTTAGAGGCGCAGCCCTGCAATTTCTTGCTCGTGTCACTGTGCTGGAAGGGGCCTCCCCTATTGTGAGCTCTAAAGAGCCACCCTCAAGGGTAAAGCTGAAATGTATCTATCATCAAATCTGTTGTGTATGCATATTTGCCTTTTGGCGTTCTCTGGTGTGACACGGGTGAGACTAGGCCTGAAAGAAGGCTGTCTCTGGTGTAGACCAATCCATTTCGAAGATAATGCCACATTATCGGAGCATGCTTGTTTGCATGTTCACCACAATTACTGTGTGAGGTCAATGCAGTCTTGATTTTTGCAAAAAGGTTTCTATTTGGTGTTTGAACATCTGTCCGTCCGTCTGTCACGCTCGGTAATATCTCAAACGGTGCGTCGAAGAACAAATATATTTTTTTAAATGCAGCCCTCGCCGAAGGCATTGCCGTAACATTTCGGCTTTCTGAATTTCCAACAATTTGATCCCGAAATTTCGAATTAAGCACCACGGAAATATCCCATTGGCAAGTGATGCTGTCATTGGAACGGGAGCACTCGGAGAAACCCCACTCGAAGCGAGGGGGAAACACTCTATCCCGTACAGAAGGGACCGATGGAGATTAGTCCACACTTTGCTGTACCGTGCTCTCTTGGCGAGCCAGGGTATGGCTCCTCTTCCACGCCCTGGTGCTGAAACACAGCGGGCCTCCTTCGTGGAAGGGGCCTTGAGCGGTAATGCTGGCGCGAATTCTACATCATCATGAATTGTCATGTTGCTGTCGCGAGTGTGTTAGTGTTGTCATTGTGTTGTCGCTGTGGTGCTGTCGTTATTGCCGTCCGTGTTATCGTTGCGGTGCTGCCGTTATCGCGTCTCCGCCGCTGCCGCTGTGCCGTGGTGGTGGTGGTGGCGGTGCGGCTGCGTGTCGCACCCTGCTCCGGCACGGAGTCGAACACCAGGATGTCCGTGCTGCCGTCGGAGCTGCCGCCCAGGCCACTGTCACTGCTGAGCCCTGCTGCCGCAGCACGCGCCACACACACCACTGGGCCGTGTTACGCACTGCGTCGCGGACCGACGCACCAACGCCACTCTCGTGCGTTGGCGTGTCGTTGTGCTGCGTCGCGCGCACTGTTGTGTACTCTGCCGTGTACTGTGCTGCGTCGTTCGGGCGACCGAGTGTCCCGGGTTGGCCGGGATAGTCCACGGGAGTTTCACAAACTCTGTCCTGGTGTCACAAAGATTTTCGTGAAAGCCGGGGGTTTAGTGGCTTGTTTAGCATTGGCTGGCTTCTCGCTTGACTCAAGATGCAGGCCGAGGGAGGAGCTACTAAAGTAGTGGGCGGAGCTATCCGGTCATTGGGTGGGGATACTAAATAGTGAGCGGGGCTAGTGAATAGTGGGCGGGGCTACCGAGGAATGGGCGGGGCTTGCGAGTAGTGGGCGTGCTACCGAGTAGTGGGCAGGGCTTGTGAGTAGTGGGCGGGGCTACTGAATAGTGGGTGGGGCTACTGAGTAGTGGGAGGGGCTACTACTGAGTAGTGGGTGGGGCTATCCGAGTAGTGGGTGGGACTAGTGAGTAGTGGGAGGGGCTACTACTGAGTAGTGGGTGGGGCTATCTGAGTAGTGGGAGGGGCTATCCAAGTAGTGGGTGGGGCTTGCAAGTAGTGGGTGGGACTAGTGAGTAGTGGGAGGGGCTACTGAGTAGTGGGCGGGGCTACTGAGTAGTGGGTGGGACTAGTGAGTAGTGGGAGGGGCTACTGAGTAGTGGGAGGGGCTACCGAGTAGTGGGCGGGGTTACTGAGTAGTGGGCGGGGCTACTGAGTAGTGGGTGGGACTAGTGAGTAGTGGGAGGGGCTACCGAGTAGTGGGCGGGGCTACTGAGTAGTGGGCGGGGCTACTGAGTAGTGGGTGGGACTAGTGAGTAGTGGGCGGGGCTACTGAGTGGTTATGTAAGAGTTAGATCGCCATGCGTCTCGGTTGGGTCTCCCGGAAATGTGTTAAGCCTCATGCGTTGTGTGCTGTGTTGTGCACTGTTTCGTGTACTCTGTCACGTGCTGTGTACGGTGTGGTGTACGATAATATTTAGATTAATTTGCCACTATAAATTTCCACGCGGCGATAAGCCACTTCGTTGAGCGATCATTTGTGGCCGGGTCGTTTCTGAAAAGTAAGCTAAATATCTTAGAGGGCTTTACCTGTTCGGATAAGAAAGTTTCGTTTTATTTGTATATTTGTTTACCTGTCCTATACTTTGCACTCCTATTGCGTTTTCGTATTATTTGTAACATTCTGAAACGCCCCTTCTGGATTTCTGTGAAAAAGAGCTTCATAGCTCATCGGATTCCTCCAGTACAAATAAATATTCAGATTCTGTGCTCTGTGCTGTGTGCTGCAGGTGTCGCCGTGATTTACCATGAGAGCGTCCCTCTATCTCCTCCCCGTGGTGTGACACGGGCGACTGCGATGGCTCTGCGTGTGACACACAAACACAGACGCGCAGTCATCTCCAGTGGCATAGCAGCAGCTACCGAGTGCGCAGGCGGTGCAGCTGCACTGGGAGGTGGCGGCAGTTACAGGGCAACACATGAGCCAAACTACAACTTTCTAGCCACTTCTAGAGCATCATTAGAATTCGCGTCGGTCACTGGGTCGTGACCGGCTGTCATTTAGGGGTGGCCCAAACCTCCGGACCCCCATGAGCCACAAGGACCAACATCTTCATTTGGCCCAGAGACGCAAGACGCTTAGCGAGTCACGTGGGGCAGTCGCGTTTCTCGGCCGTGGAGGTTTGGATTTAGAAATCTGCGGGAGCCCCCCCAACCGCCCCCCGGGGGAGCAGCTATGACTGCCTCCCCGGTGGTGGGCAGGGAGGGGAGAGTGACCCGGAGCTGCCCCCACTTCGGCAGATTTTTTTGTATCCGTTTGAAATGCACTCACCGTGAAAAAGTTACGAATGATCTGCATCTTCATTAAGCCGTACTTTTTAAAAACATTATTATTATCATTACCATCGTTACGCTTTGTGTACGCAGGAATTCCTCGCTGAGCCTCATGACTCTTTTTCAGGAGGGTCCTGCCAAGTTTTCACAGTATGTGTGTGTGGGGGGGGGGGGGGGAGCGATCTGGGCTCTGTGTAATCCCAATGGAGACATTCTGCAGCTCATTTCTCAGCGCTCGGCTGTCTGTTGACCAGCACTGCCGTCTTTGTCGTCGATGTATCTTCATCAAGCCATTGCGGGCGGGAAGGACCTCCACTATCAGGTGGGGGGGGGGGGGGCTATATGGGTGACAACCGGACAACCCCGAAGGAAAGAAGGAAACCCATGCAGAACACAGAGGCGCCCGAGACGTGACCCCCCCCCCTTTGTGTCTCCCAGCCCCCCACGTACTGCGTGCCCCGCCTCCAGCGGCTGCGTTGTCGAAGTAGGAGAAGAGTGAGTCGAGTTCGTCCGGGCAGAACAGCGAGTCCCTGCGGAACTGTTTCTCCAGCGCGGCTACTGCGGCCCCGGGGGAGGGTGCAGAGGAGGGTGCAGGGGAGGGTGCAGGGGAGGGTAGAGGGGAGGGTGCAGGGGAGGGAGCGTAGGGGAGAGTGCAGGGGAGGGTGCAGGGGAGGGTGCAGGGGAGGGTGCAGGGGAGGGTGCAGGGGGAGGGGCAGGGAGGGTGCAGGAGAGTGAGTGCAGGTGCGTGTGGAATATGAAGGGAGGGACAGAGAGGAGAGAGAGTAGGATGTGAAGAACACACATTAGGATCAGCTGTTTCCACACAGCCACGCATCACGGTCACACACATGGCAAGCCTCTGATGGTTGGAGACCCCATCGCAGAAGCACAATCATCCAAAAACAATGGAATGTAAGCCAAGAAACACAACATTTCTGTGCCACTCTTGCGAAGAGACATTAAAAACAGGGCCCACACTTTTCTCGCATTTTAATTAGAATTCTTATCGAGCGCGAAGCGACTTCAAACCCAACAGTTTTGGCAACAGAGATCTGTGCCATTATCTTGAAAAGCATTGCAATTGGGCAGTTGGGGGTGCGGGATTGGGGGGGGGCAAGGGGAATGTGGGGGGGGGGGGCAGAGGGGGGCAGGAAGGAGCCGAAAGGGATTTTGGCCGATGGATCAAAGCAGCTTTGATAATTTAACGACAACACATAATTACGTACAATACACAGATACATTTGTAAACACGTGTACTACAGTACACACCCACGCGGCGATGGCGTGATGGAATGGTCAGCACACTGGACTTGTTAACCCAATGGTTGCCGCTCCGGTTCCATCTCCCGGTGCGTCAGTTGTGGACGAGGACTACGGGAGTTTAAAAACCGCCCCCACCACCACCGCGGCCACCACCACCGACACCACCAGTGCCACCACCGCCACCACCACCACCACCGCCACCACCACCACCATCCTCACTACCACCGCCACCACCACCGCCACCACCACGCGATCACCACCGCGGCCACTACCACCGCCACCACCGCCACCACCGCCACCACCGCCACCAAGGCAGACGTGGGTCCGTTTGCCTTGGTAACGATGACAGTAATAAAGCTTTCGCTCTCGTTAATTTCGTTATTTATTCTGCTGAGGCCTCATCGAGTCTAAAGACTCCTTTTGTTTGTTTTAGAAGAGTCCTGCTGTGCCGAGATCGTCGTACCTGGTGGAAACAACACGCACGAGCGGATGGCACTCACAGGTCCGCACAGATGGCTTCATGAACCCGACGCAGGCTTGACGCTCAAGACATTCGTAATTAATCAGAATCAGAATCCCTATTCAGACTGGAGGGCTCATGGTCTCGTCAGATCTGTCGTGTGGCGAGCGGCGCAGAGAGGTCATTAATTGGGTGGCACAATGAGATGACGATGACGAATGTAATTGGTGTTGGCCAAACATCCCAATGCAAGACCCCGCTACAGTGTGTCTTTCCCGGGTACATAAATAGTTATAATCCCTTCGTTGTTATTAACATGAAACAAATGAACTCTGCCCCGACCCTCCCCATGCCACCCGGGCAACCCCCTCGGCGCCGTACCGGCAGGATGGAGTCTCGGCGACGACAGCGAGGTGCCCGTCTCCCTCCGGCCACCCCCACCGCCGCCCCCCGGCAGCATCCCGGCAGGGCCCGGCCCGTTCGACGCGCCCCCACCACCTCCTCCTCCGCTGCTCCTCCTCCGCCTCCTCCGCCCGCTGCCGCCCGACACTCGCAGGCCGCGCTGAGAGCCGGACGCCGATCCGCTCCGCCTGGAGCCTCCGGATCCCATGGTGCCGCCCCCTCCTCCTCCGCCGCCGCCGCCAATTCCGGTGTTTCCGCCGCGGCCGCCGCCGCCGCCGATGTTGGCGTTGATCCCACCGGTGCTGCTCGGAGCGCGGGAGGAGCCGGGGCGCAGCGCGGGGCCCACGGGCCGAGGGGCCCACAGGGCCCCGGACTCCTGTGCGAGACGAGCGGCCTCCGGGAACGGACGCAGGAACTTGCGGTCGACATACTTGGCCCGAATCCACATCTCCTTCTCCTGGCTGGGAGGGGGTGGGGGGGGGGGCGGGGGAGGGGGAGGGAGAAGAGGTCGAGAGGTCAAGGGGTTAGAGAGGTCAAGGGGTTAGAGAGGTCAGGGGCTTAGAGAGGTCAGGGGCTTAGAGAGGTCAGGGGCTTAGAGAGGTCAGGGGCTTAGAGAGGTCAGGGGGTTAGAGAGGTCAAGGGGTTAGAGAGGTCAAGGGGTTAGAGAGGTCAAGGGGTTAGAGAGGTCAAGGGGTTAGAGAGGTCAAGGGGTTAGAGAGGTCAAGGGGTTAGAGAGGTCAAGGGGTGCGGATAGTTTGGAGTCAGGTGTCGGTGGTGGCAGCAGCTGTTGGTAAAGTTAAGCTTGATGGGCTTGGGCACAGCAGATGTTCAAGTTCAAGTTGATATTCTGTAACGAGGTGAGAACTCAATAGACCAGGATTGGAAAAGCAATTGGAAAAAGGGTGACCTGGGATGCGAGCGAGGATTGTGATGGCAAATAACATTGGAGGTGATGATTTTACTAAGAATATATATTTTTTGTAAGGCCACGTAACGACGTGGCGCCAAAACCTGCGCCGCAACATCTCCCCGCCACCACGCAACGCAGTCAAGCGAATGACATCGTCACACGGCGCACACGGGCGTCCGTCGCGGCGGCGAGCCAGAGATAAAGTCTCTGACGACCGCATCCAGACGGCGGCACGGCCAATGGGCGGTTAATGCAGGTGCCGAGCGACATCGCACGGCAGCCGATCGTCAGAGCTAAAGCCCAACCACTCCTAGCGGCGTCACCGTGAGCTCGACGGAGTTGGCTTCTTGCCGCCGACGTCTTCCGCGCTCGCCTCGTAGATGTCGTTGATCACGTGGTTCCCGAGCTCACACATCAGCTGTGACACACGCACACAAGCACAGAGACAAAGGTCCGCCGTGTAGCCTTTAATGGACTGTCGGGGCAAGTGCTGTTAACGAGCAGCACCCGTGAAGGCTGGGCACGGCGCACCTGTGAGCGATGTTCACACAACGCACCAGCAACTGTACTCATTTGAGGCTGAGTTGACCTAGGTGAGGCTCAGGACCAATTCAGATCATCGTCACTGGTGTCGCCCATGAGCGGGAATCTAACCTGGGTCACCGGGTTCACAAGCACCACCCCTTCCTGATTATGCCCCGCCTCTTCCGGAGTAGACTCCACCCCTTACCATCCACTCCTTTCCTTTTAATGCCCTGCCTCCCTTTCCTTTTAAGTCTCACCTCTTACCGTTTAGGCACCGCCCCTTCCTATTTAGGCACCCCCTCTTCCTGGTCGGGGTCGTGGCCGCCATAGAATAAATAGACAACTGAACACGACTAAGGGCTGGCCGAGAGGATGGGCAAATTATGTTCACAAGTGAACGTACAGACAGATGATCCGGTGGAAGAATGGAGAGAGACCAATCGGTGAGTGTGCGAGTGAACGCGAAGGTAAATTTAGAACTGGCAGGACTAATTAATGAACAGATGCATTAAACACGTTGCGAAGGAGATGAATGATGAATGAATGGAGAAAAAGTGAGTGAATTCATGTCGATATGAGTGCATTAATTTAGGGACAAATGAATGAAGAACGAGTGAATGAATGGATAGACGAGTGAAATAACTGATTCTTGAAGACCAATGAGCAAATGAATACAGGATGAGTGAATGAATGAGTGAATTATTGGGAGCTCAGACCTTCAGAAGCTCTGGTTCCCACGAGTCCAGGGTTAGGGATCGAACTTTAGAGCAGTGAACTCCAAGGCTCCTGCAAACATTCAAACACACAAAGACAAAGATTCCCCGTGTGGTCATACAAACTGTTGTGGCAAGTGCTGTTAGTGAAAACTTATTAAGACCGGCAAGGCACACAAGGGGGTGGGTTGTTAGCACCATGCCCGGCCACCTTAGTCTCCCCAAAGCTGATGGTACTAACTTAAGGCTGAGTCGATCTAGGGGAGGCCCAACACCTGGTTCAGACACTCGTCACCGATGTTGACCGTGAGCAGGAATCAAACTAGGCTCTTTGGATTCGGAGTGCAATGCGTTAACCACCACTCCCCATCTCTCTCACTCTCTCTCTCTCGTGACCCCCGTGCCCTCTGACCTGTGAATCCCGGAGCACTCGATGCAGAGGGCGATGCCCAGGTTTATGCTGGCCCAGCGCGGGTCGGGCTGCCCGCAGTCGCAGCAGCGCTCGTTGCCCCGGATGGCCTGCACGCGCGCCAGCACGTTGTCGCTGCAGCCTCGCGCCCCGCGGTCACGGGCGTCCGACGCAGAGTCCAGGCTTCCCGTGGAGGGCGACGCGTTCCGCTCCAGGCGCTGCGACGCACGCGTGACGACACGCGTGACGACACGCGTGACGACACGCGTGACGACACGTGTGACGGCCCACGGTGACGAACCGTGGTGATGACGCACTTAGTGTCGTCACTAGTGGCAATGTTTACACACCGAACCGGGTAATCATTTTGAGGCTGAGTCGACCTAGGGGAGGCCCAGGACTGGTTCAGATAATTGTCACTTGTGTCGCGGCGTGCTAACCGCTACATATTCATAAAAACACACACTCACACACGCGTACCATGGCGTACGTGTCGTCGCACGCGTCACGGTACGCCGTGGCGATGCTCGCCTGCACCGCCTGGATCCACAGCTGCCTCAGCTTCTCCGAGTCCGCCTGGAGGATGCAGCTCCTGCAGTCCACGACAAAGACAAAGATTCCCCCCTGTATAGCCTCATCAGAGTTTAGCGGCAAGTGCTGTTCGCGATGAGGCCAGCACGACGCTTGCCCATGCCGCATTCGTAAAATAACGAACGTCGCTTTGTCACTTCATTTGGAGAAATTCCATCTCTGACAATTACATAACTTTGACTGCAATCGTACGGTGACCATTTCTCTTCATAGCAGGGTGCGTGGGGGAAGTGCAGCGCCCCCCCCCCCCCCCCCAAGCGAGTAAACGTAACGGGGATCTCAGCAGTAGTTCTGCGAAGTCTCCTTCTTCTGCACGTATCTTCGTGGCTCTCTATGTTAACCCTACGTGTGGCTGCAATGTCCTGCGTTGGTGTACGGTGCTTTTTCTGTAATATTTGGCTGTCTTTTCTTGGCTTTTCTGTTTGCACTTAGTCACTTTAAGATGTTTTCTTGTTCATGTTTTTGCTTTTTGTTTTTTGCGGTTGCACCCGATTCAAGAGCCGAATGGCTCACAGGGCTATACCTAATACATGAACTTGAACTTGACTGCCTACCCGTGACCCCCGCCTCTGGCTTTGACCACCACAAGCCGAGACCAAAGTGGGAGTCCCGAGTCTGAATGGTGCCAATTTAACGATGGTGCACCATCAGCCGCCGCACATCAATCGGCAGATGCGCACATCGCCTCGATAACCGGAACATTAACCCTTTCCTGTTCCAAGACGTCTGCAAGTTGCAGGGTGTGGGGGGCATCCCGTTCACCGCTGAATCTCGGAACGCTCAAGCGGCTGAGCGTTCATTTTATTGAAAGAGGCGTTAGTAGCGCCGTTGTTTTTAAAGACATCGTTAATCGCAGCAGAGAACCTTAGCGACACGACCGCCGCACTCTACGATAGCTGCCATGCCCTCCCGCATGGCCTTGTGGGAGCCTCGGCACTGATAAAGTTACTTTACTTTCTCTTTCGGTTCCGTACACGTACGTCATCGGAACGGGAAAAAGGTTAAAGACACAAGCTGCAGTGGTGCGGACCGTGGCAATGCAACCCAAACTATGTACGTACTTCGAACTTAGTTCCCACTGTACGTAGCCGACCGTGTTAATCGGACCATGTGGGAAACCACTGCTTGTCTGCGCTGCTTCAATGGAGGAGGAGCAGCAAAACTCTACAAACTCTCTCTCCTGAAGCCTTCTCGTCGTGGGGAAGGGGTGGAGGGCGCTGTAAGAGTCGGCCTTGTCACCTTGAGACGTGTGAATTAGCGAACACGCGGGCCGCGAGCCTGATTGAATTGAGTCAAATGAAAGCCTATGAATCAGAGGGGTAATGGGATTGGCTAGAGGTGAAGTGTGAACACTTCTGTTGGTAATGAGACGGGGGAGAGTGGAGGCCGGGGTTTATATCACGTGTGTGCATGTGTGCATGTGTGTGCGTGCTTGCATGTGTGCGTGCGTGTGTGTGCGTGTGTGCATGCGTGTGTGTGTGCGTGCATGTGTGTGTGTGTGTGCGTGCATGTGCGTGTGCTTGTGGCCTCAAGGTGCACATGGCCTGGCACAAGCGTCGTAGTGACGTCACCACCACTTAGTGGTGACGGTTGTTGTTGTTGTGGTGTGCTTGTGTGTGCGTGCGTGTGTGTGCGTGTGTGCGTGCATGTGCGTGTGTGTGCTTGTGTGTGCTGTACAGCTGGTGCAGCTACCGGTCATCTCAGTCAACTAACCCATGGCACCTTGGGTCTGTCCCGTGATCTCCTGTCAGCGGGCGTTCAACACTTCACGTGGCCTTAAAGTGTACTTAGCCTGGCACAAGCACTGTGGTGACATCGCCACTTAGTGGTGAATGGCGGTTGTTGTTTCTTTTTGTGTGCGGTTAGCGCGCTGCGCTACAAACCCAGCACCCCGAGTTCGATTCCCGCTCACGACTAACACAAGTGACAATTATCTGAACTGGTTCTGGGCCTCCCCTACGTCGACTCAGCCTCAAATTAGAACCCTACATGAATCATCTTTTTTTTTTAAACCTTCAATGTTTTTTGTTTGTTCCTCTGGTGAATATCAATCAAATGTCAATGTTTGGGTTCCCAAGGGCCAATCGCCCAGCTCTTGAATCAAACCAGTGCCATGACAACCCCTCACCAACATCATCATTTACTCTCGTCACGGTGGGCAGCACGATCGCCGCCACCGCGAGCGTGCACAGCCCCACCGCATTGCGGGTACCACCGCAGCATCCGATCGCAGCAGCGGTGTCGGCAGCAGCAACGGTGCAGCAGCGGTGCAGAAGCAGAGCAGTAAATCTGCAGCAGCGTGGCAGCTATATGCAGTAACTGCGCAGCAACTGTGCAGCTGCGCAGCACCAATGGTGCAGCAAAGTGGTAGCAACTGTGCAGCATTGCAGCAGCAGCGGTGCAGCATCACAGCAGCAGAGGTGCAGCAGTGCGGCAGCAGCGGGGCTACAGCAGAGCAGCGAGGCAAGGGTGCTGCATATCAGCAGCAGCAGCACAGCAGTGTCACAGCACGGAAGCACGGTGCGGCAGTAAGAGAGTAATGGCCACGCTTCCTCTATCCCAAAACCCAGCTCTAGCCGTGTCCCCAATCTTATCCCGAACCCCATTCCCATTGCTAACCCAACAAGAACCCGGATATTACTCTGTCCATGACTGTAATTCTCTTGCTAACCCCATTCTTAACTCTATTCCCAGAACCCTACCCCTAATTCTGACCCTCACACCCCACCCACAGCCATAACCCGCACCTCCAATTAGCACGGTTGGCTCTTGAGTATTGAGTATATCGTCATTATCAGAGCACGTTTGTTTGCATGTTTTGCAACAGGAATGTGTGGTGAATGCAGACTTGATGCCTTGCAATACGTATCCACAGTATTTGGTGTTTGAACATCTTAACACCTCCTGTTGTACTGCCATGAAGGGTTACGCCTATCCTTAAATTTTTTTTACGTACGGTGCGAAAGAAGTTCAACAGAGATAGATAACCTCATACCGAACCCGAACGCTAACCTCTCATCCAGACCCTCACCCCAACCCTCACCCCAACCCTACCCATACCCTCACCCCAACCCTACCCATACCCTCACCCCAACCCTACCCATACCCTCACCCCAACCCTACCCATACCCTCACCCCAACCCTACCCATACCCTCACCCCAACCCTACACATACCCTCACCCCAACCCTACCCATACCCTCACCCCAACCCTACCCATACCCTCACCCCAACCCTACCCATACCCTCACCCCAACCCTACCCATACCCTCACCCCAACCCTACACATACCCTCACCCCAACCCTACCCATACCCTCACCCCAACCCTACACATACCCTTCACCCCAACCCTACCCATACCCTCACCCCAACCCTACCCATACCCTCACCCCAACCCTACCCATACCCTCACCCCAACCCTCACCCCAATTTCTTGCTCTGTCTCCAAACCTCCCCATTCCCCTTGCCTTCCACGCGGTCACGTGACACCCATTACCGCCCCCTCCTCTGAGCCCCCAAAACCAATTCCGATTGGCCGCAGCACAGCCCCCCTTCATCCCCTCTCACTGTCCCCTCACCTGCATCCCCTTCCTCCCCCCTGCCCCCCCTAACCCCCCCCTCGCCCCCCACCCCCAGGGGGAGACACGCACTTGTTGGGAGAGACGACCTCGAAGCAGAATCGCCGCTCGATGTCCTCGTGCGGCTTCACGGAGCAGAGGCGCAGGTCCTCCACCACGACCGTGAGTCCGTCCTGCAGCGCCAGAGCCGCACGAGGCACAGACACAGCAGTGGCAGTAGCAGCAGAAGCGTCAACAGCATCACCAGCGCCAGACACAACAGTGACAGCAGCAGCAGAAGCGTCAACAGTAACAGTGTCACCAGCAGAACCAGCGCCAGACACAGCAGTGACAGCAGCAGCAGCAGAAGCGTCAACAGCATCACCAGTGCCAGACACAGCAGTGACAGCAGCAGCAGCAGCAGCAGAAGCGTCAACAGTAACAGTGTCACCAGCAGCGCCAGCAGCATCAGCAGCGGCATCGTCGCCACTGGGGAGACAAAGACGGCCAGGCGTGGTGCGGGCCGCCCACCTCGTCATGTACCGCGTTGGCCTTCATAGGTGCTTGCTAACATTACTTGCCCTAAACGCCTGTAAAGGCTATAAGGGGGATCTTTGTCTTTGGGTGAGGGCAGAGGTCATGATGATGATGAAGCTGTCGTGGTGTTGAAGCTGGAGGTGATGGTGGTGGAGGTGGTGATGATGATGATGTTGGCAGTGGGGGTGGTGATGGAGGCGGTGATAGTGGAGGCGATGTTGCTGGAGTTGGTGGTTGTGGCGTGCCATCGGTGGTGATGGACATGGTCGTTGATCCACATGGCAGTTATAATAGTGGTGGTGGTCATATGAAACAAGTTGTATGTACGTATGTTGAACTTCTTTCGCACCGTATGTAGCCAACCGCGCTAATCGGAGGTGCGGGGGAAGGGCAGCAAACCAAACACAAAAAGCAGTTCTAAAGAAGTTAGTTTTCAATCTAAGTTGATGTTTATGTACAGGCTCCGGAGTAGGAGTTAATGCGGTTGTTGTGGATAACGGTGGTGGTGGTGGAATTGTTAATGTTGTTGGGGGTAGTGATGGTGCGCTAGATGGATGTGAGTGCTGGAGATGCTGATTGTGCAAACCTTCATCTTCTTCTGGTAGACCAGCTGGTTGTTCTGAATAGAAAACCAGCGCCTGGGGGAAGACCAGCATAATTATGATCATCACCATCATCGTCATAAAAATCCAGCAGCCATGATCAATCCACTGCTGGACAAAGACCTCCCCAAGCTGTCCGTCGTACTTTCATCCCGAAAAAATCTCAACACATCCCGACTCGATGACTCGACCTCTGTGACCTCTCCGTGAGGGCCCATTGCCCGAGAGGTCGCTCATGACATCAATTGTTTTATTCATGTATTATTATTATTGACCAACGCGTTGACTTCGTTTGTTGTTGTCCGTGCTTGTGCACCGCTGCCAATGCGGCAGCAGCGGCGGCAGCCTCACCGGATCATCCCGCGATCCTGCGATGCAATCGGTCCACCCTTGTGCCCGCAACTCCAACACGACTTCACCGCTGCGACGAGCCGGTGGCTTGTTTTTTTGGGCGAGTCAAAAGTTTACGAGGGCACTCCCTCCTTTGCCGCAAATCGACGTATCGTTTGCGTACGCCGTGTTCGTAAGCAGTCGATTCTCAAAGCGCGCGCGATTCGTGCATCAGCGAGCGCAAAGAACGCGTCGTCGCAGCAACGCTGCGTGCGGTGTGTACTCACCCTCAAAATACGACGCGCTTTACAGTGAGCCCTAAAGATCACGCGACGTCATTCGCAGGAGCCAAGCCATTGCGTGCCGGTGACTCGACACCCACCAGGCCTGCAACGCAACGCCATTCGTCTGCCAGTAGGGGGCGAAGGTTGCCGCTGCGTGCTTGATGGCCAATCGAGTCATTTGTGGGTAAAGTTTTCAAATTTGACAGTGACGTCAGGGCCACGTGACAGCGACGCCGGGGCCACGTGACCGCGCTGGTGGGGCCACGTAACAACGAACCCTCCGAGTCCAACCCCCCTCCCCTCCTCACCTGTTCCAGGTCTTGAAGGCGTTGCTGGCTCGCTTGTAAAGGTAGCCCTCCATGACCACTCCTGTGGGCGAGTCCAGGCTCACGTCCATCCGGCCGTCGTCCGAGATCTCCTGCAAGGTCACGGCAGAGGGAACGAGGAGTGGAGGCGTTAGTCGGAGGTACAGGTCGGGGAGAATTGGCACCTCTGTGTTCGGGTGGCAGATATTGATGATTTGTAACCAAGATTTGGTACTGGTATCGCGTTGGAAAATTATGACAGCACAGGGCGCTCTGCATGGTTTTGATAACAGACCCAGGCCGACTGAGAAATAGGTCCCTGACTGTCACATCTGTGAAAAAAATAAGCTTCATAGCTCATCGGATTCCTCGAGTCTACTAAACAAACATTCCAATTCTGATTGAAAGCTTTCGTGACTGCAGGGATTCATCTTCTTGGTTCTTTTGGCAAAGTCACGTAGAAGGGAAATAATAAAATAATAAAAATAAAACAATAAAATAAAATTCTAACGACGTTTCGGCCACAACGCAAGCAGCCGTCCTCAGGTGAAGAACAGGTCTGTCGGAAAGACAGCATCTGAATGTATTCTTTCTGACTGCCCTGTTCTTCACCTGAGGACGGCTGCTTGCGTTGTGGCCGAAACGTCGTGAGAATTGTATTTTATTATGTTTTATTTTTATTACTTTATTATTTCCCTTCTACGTGACTTTACCGAAAGAACCAAGAAGATTCCGATTCTGATTCTGAAAGGGCAGCAACGTGACAGGGACCGACGCGGCGCAGAGGTGGCCAGGCGGCTCGTCAGTGTGTCAAGCTGGCACCGCTGGGTGCGAGTCCAGGCTTGGGGCCGCCTGCGCGAGAACCAGGCCCCTTCTGGTGCAGTGAGTTGATGGTGTCAGCTCCGGTCGACAACCAACAACAAACGATTTGAGAAACCTGCACCGTTGTTTTATCTCTCGTACCAGCAGAATGACCTCCGCAATTGCAAATCCGGCGCGATGACCGCTAACACCACGGCAGGCGATAACCACGAAGACAGTCCGCTCTTCTGTAGCGCGCGTTTTCATGACGCGGATTGGATACATCGCCATCGGTTGAACGGAGCTACGTCGCGCGAGTAGGAATAAGCGGCCGTACGGCTGCCTCGGCGTAGCGTCACACGGGGCGGGATTGCTGCTGGATACTTCCAGATGCTACCCACGCGCCTCGGCCTTTGTTCAGCCTGCGTAAGCATCTCACGCGTTATCGCGGACGGTGTTTTACCCTATATCATATATAATTATTATTATAACGCGATTTTTCCTTAACGCGGTGTTCTTCAGGAATGTAACTACCGCGTTATAGAACACGACTGTCCGATTTCACAGCCTTATTTGCGCGCGGTTTTCACATTCTGGTTAAACAACGTCAAATTTGCAGCGCCACCGCCGCTGCAGCCGACACCGCCACACGGCGTCTGCTCGCTCTGGTGAAGAGCGGAGAACGGCTCGGAGTCGCGAGGAGGAGGAGAAACCACGGACGAGTGGGAGGGAAGGCAGCAGCAACAGCCACGCAGTGGTGAGCCGCCACCAAATTCCCCCCTCCCTTCCCAAGCTCTGCAGTCCTCTACATAGCAAGGTATTACCGGCCAATTGACGAGCGTTTATACACGAGGGAGGAGACCAGAGAGCACTCTGGCGGGGAGGGGCGGCAACGCTCGACTCCGCACGGACGGAACAGCTGGAGGCCACATTCGCCGCACCGCCTTCGCCCGGCAATCGCAGGGCGCGGCACCCCACCCACGAGGGAAAAGGAGTTCCACAGCAATGCAGAGGTCGCAAACGGGTTTTGATTCCTTACCCGTACCCGGCCGTACCAGGGTCGCAAACGGGTACCCGTACCCGGCCGTACCCGTACCCTACCCATACCCGGCCGGGTATGGGTAGGGTACGGGTATCGGCTACCTGATTGCGACTTCTGGGATGAAGCCATGTTGCAGGCGCGGGTGGGTTGATTCTAGGAACTTGAATTGTGAGAAGAGACAAGACGTTGGGAAATGAGTGACAAACGGTTACTCACCAGTGGCTCACGGCCTACCCGTACCCGGCCGCACCAGGGTTGCAAACGGGTACCCGTACCCGCACCCAGCCGGGTACGGGTAGCCGGGTATCGGGTAGGGCACGGGTATCGGGTACCCGGTTGCGACTTCTGCAGCAATGTCCACGTGTGCGCCATGATCCACCGACCCTCGCCGCTGCCGCCGCAGTGCTGGGCGTACGCACCTCATGGATGCGCGCTGCGCTTCTTTCGCGCCGCACGTCGCCAGCCGTGCTAATCGGAGTTGGACCACCGCGGCGCGGCCGCTAACCGTCCGTTATTTTGTTTAAACCGTGCCATCCCACACTTCCTCCCGCCAACCCCCCCCCAAATAACCTTGGACGATCGCGAGTTGAGCGTGCATCGTGACGCGAGCGCGAGCACGCGCGGTGAAAGCCGGCGAGCGCTCCGGCGCATTAGCATACAGCTGGGGCCAGAGCCCACTTTGAGTTTTTGGTGTCGAGAAAGACGGCAGCCTTTAAAAGAAGCTTTAAGCCCAATGACAAATTTAACATGAGAAACGAATTGAATGGCGGTGGGGGGAGGAGGGGGGGAGACTCGGAGAAGGAGCGGGGTAAGAGAACAAAAGTTTTAAAAAAGTAAAACAAACGGCACCGTCTGTGCTTCAGACGCAACAAAAGCGGCATCTGCCGCCACCAGCCTGCGGGCCGGACGGCGGCGGCCTTGTTAGCGAGCGCACGTTAACAAACATCACCGCTCGCAGGGAAGAGCCAGCCGTGACCTCCCTCCAGCCGTGACCTCCCCCCAGCCGTGACCTCCTCCCACCCGTGACCTCTCCCCACCCGTGACCTCCCCCCACCCGTGACCTCCTCCCACCCGTGACCTCCCCCAGCCGTGACCTCCTCCCACCCGTGACCTCTCCCCACCCATGACCTCCCCCCACCCGTGACCTCTCCCCACCCATGACCTCCCTCCAGCCGTGACCTCCCCCCACCCGTGACCTCCCCCCCACCCGTGACCTCCCCCCACCCGTGACCTCCCCCCCACCCGTGACCTCCCCCCACCCGTGACCTCCCCCCACCCGTGACCTCCCCCCCACCCGTGACCTCCCCCCACCCGTGACCTCCCCCCCACCGGTGACCTCCCCCCACCCGTGACCTCTCCCCACCCGTGACCTCCCTCCAGCCGTGACCTCCCCCCACCCGTGACCTCCCCCCACCCGTGACCTCCCCCCACCCGTGACCTCCCCCCACCCGTGACCTCCCCCCATCCGTGACCTCCCCCCATCTCAGGCGAGCACAGTGGATGTTGCTCGTCACCGTCGGCAGATCCCCTGAGAGCCGTGGTGGGAATTCCACATTCCCATGGTGGGGACCAGTTTTTATTTTTCAAACCCAGCAACGCAGAGCATCGCGGTGGTCATGGGCCGAGTCACACCCACCTATCCCCATCCCTCACCAGGATTTGAACTCACAACGTTATGATCGAGTTAAAGGTGTATTTTTAGTATTACTACGCTTATTCACTTAGGAAAGCCTTACTCGGTCTCAATAACTTTTTTCAGGAGGGCCTTGCCAGATTTTAGCAGTCAGGGGACAATGCTGATATGTGTAATTGAGTAATTTGCACCTAATCTCTCAGCATTGGAATGTTTGTTCAATACCAGTTACATTCACACACTCACCTACTCTCACTCACTCACTCTCATAGACTTCCTCTCGTAGTTTCTCACACAATCACTCACCCACTCACTCTCACACCGTCACTCACTGTCACAACGACTTACCATATGTAAGGGTTATTATGTATTAATTTCTTGAAGCGGAGACTCGCAGACAGAGTGGGCGCTCTGCACGGCGCCATAGTGGTGAGGTGTTAACTACCTCGCCTGGTATACAGGAGGTCACGGGTTCGATCCCGACCCCGATGACTGCATATTTGGAGTTTGCGTGTCTCTTTCCCCGTGGTCGTGTGGATTTTTCTCCGGCTCCTCTGGTTTTTCCCTCCACAATTAGAATCAACATCACCATGCGTGTAGAGTATTTGGCTGCAATGAATTTCCACGCGATAAGCCGCTTCCGTTGAGCTATCATCTGTGGCAGCCAGGTCGCTTCGGAAAAAGAGCTACGCAGTGGGGCCCTACCTCTTGAGTTTCAGGCTTTGCACCCTCACTCACTTCCTCTCACACCGACTCACTCCCCCACGCTCTGCAGAGCCGGGGCTAGAAACAAACTCTACGCGGAGAGAGAGGCTGCCCCGAGTCGGGAGTCGAACCCGGGCCGCTGCACCGCCCTGCGCCCCCCCCCCCCCACCCCGGAGTGGACAGAGATATCGACTTCTCAAGTCTCTGAGCTGCAGCGTGGCGAGTTGCGAGTCTGGCCTGCTGAGTGGGTGGTGGAGTAAACGTAAAAAAAAAACGAATTCGGTAAAAATCTCACACGTGCCGCAGGGCTGGGTGCCCGCTCCGTCTGCGAGTCCCCGCGCTGTATAATAATAATAATGAAATAAAACAAGCCCCTTACATCTGGTAACGATTACAAAAACTGACAATAATACACAAACTCAGTTGGGTAGACGTTGGAGTTCACGTCGCTTGAGAAGACGCTTTAGCGTGTGCTCCCAGCGTCATCGGCGGCGTTTGCACCGCCACCGACTGTGGGCCCGCGCAAAGCCTTGCTTTACTTACTCATCTCCATACATTAAATTATAAATAATAATAATATATATAAATGTCAGGTGGCTGTCGATGCCGCCCCACACCCCGCCAACGCTTCCTTCCTCCTGCCAGATCAAGCAGAGTCGACAGACGCGAAGAAAGCGGGGGGAGTTCATTTGAGCCGGGGTCTGCGCATGTCTGGGTATGGCAAATATTTCACCCCCCCTGAACACCACATCCAGTATACCCGCTCGCTGTGGCTGTGGCTACCACTCGTCAGATGGTCACCTACTCCAATCTAACCAACGAACTCCGGAACATACACAGCGATGACAGTACACCTCACCACAAGTTTCAAACAACACGTGGAATCGTGTATGTGCGTACGTGCCTAGGTTGAACGTCTTCCGCACCGTACGTAGCCAACCGTGCTTATCGGAGGTGTACAAAGGCCTCGGCGGCTTCTGCGTAACGATGCGAAAACCCATCGGCAGTTCCTGAAGAAGTGCGCTGTGCTCCTCTTGTCTGAGATAACCATCAGGACAACTTGAGCACACGTGACCAAACGGCCCGATGATTTCTCGCTGGATCAGAGTTTTTTTCCGCGGCAGTACCGCCATCGTTCGGCGCGACGTCCGACGTTTCGCTCCGGGAGAGAATTCGGTACCCGACCGCAACCCAAAAAGAAAACACCGTCGTGACGACGACGACGACGACCGTGAGAAAGGGCGACTATCTTGCAACTCTCTTGTCAAGGGAAAGGGCGACTGTCTTGCGACTCGTCACAACTCTCTCGTCGTGACGACGACGACGACCATGAGAAAGGGCGACTCTCTCTTGCGCTCTCGTATTCCGCTCACGCCACCGCCGCGGTGGCGGCGTCGATGCCCTCAGCCACCGCCGCTATTTTAACCCGGAGAAAAGGAGAGAGAGGCCCCAATGCAAGCCTCGGTTTTTGTTTTGTTCCGTTTCCCCGATGCCATCTGGCACCGGAGTGAGTGCTCAGCTCAGCGAGCGGGGTGGGGTGGCCGTGGGGAGGAGGGAGGGAAGTGGGGGTGTTGGGAGAGCAAGGAGGGCAGTGCGGAGAAGCGAGGCACGGGGAGGTGGTGGGAGTGGAGATGGGGTGGTGGGGGCGAGGGGGAGTGAGGGCTTGCAGCTGCAGGCACAGAGGCTCAATAGCTTAGACGCCCTGCCAGGGGTCCTTGGCTGCACCCAGCTGCCCGCGGTAGTGCGAGAGCTGGACGCTGCTTCTCAGGGCCTCACAATGGCCACGCTTCATAATGGCCAATTCAGAGACAACCGAGTCCAGGACAGCTGACACAGCCTGGGTTCGAGCCCCGGGGCTGGGTGCCTCTCTTTCTCCGTCTCTCTCTCTCTCCCTCGAGGGTCTATCATGGCTAAGATAGAGATGCTGGGTATGTGCGTCCCATCCTCTCGCTGGGTTCACAATGGCCATGTCAGCGCCACTGAAATCTGCGTTTGACCCGTGGGCTTTAAATCCAAGTGAATCCGGCAACGAGGGCTTACAATGATAAATATAGAGTGCCCACGATACACGGGGCATAGATTAGGAGTTTATACGGCGTTTCATTTAACAAATCCCCGTTATTTACATGATGAACTGCAAACCGATTTACATCTTTGTAACGTCATTAAAGATTGCTTCTTACATCGTGAAAAAAAACACAAGTCACGTAAAACAAAACGGGGAGAAAAAGACTTGCAAGCTCCAAATATACAGCAGACATCAGGGTCTGGATCGAACCCGCGACCTCCTGTATAGCAGGCGAGGTAGTTAACATCTCGCCACCGTGGCGCCCCTTACGTAAGTGACGCTGCTGGTGGTTCAAGGGAAGTCCCGGTGAACGCCGCAGCTCCGTATATAAATGTCCAAATGAGAAGCCACTTTTTGCTGAGCTATCATTTGTGGCCAGGTCGATTTTGAAAAATAAGTTCATGCATCAGTGGGCTCTGCCTGGTAGGATGGGGATGGTTTCGTTTTATTTGCGTGCGTTTGGGCGACTTCTTGTACTTTGCACTGCTATTGCGTTTGTCGTTGTAACGTCATGATCCCGTGTCCCTACCGGACATCTGTGAAAAAGAGCTTCACAGCTCATCGGATTCCTCCAGTACAGCATAAATAAATACTCGGCTTCTGCTATGCAGACCGCCTCCCCGATGATCCCCGCATGAGCGATAACAACATCCGAGCCGGGCTCTCGGCCGGTCAAACGGAGGTCACAAAACGAGGACCCGCGGAGGAGCCGACTCACCTGTATTGTCGCCTGCAGAGCGGGCGAGAGCGGCGTAGCAGGCGGGAGGTGGAGCCCCGGTGAACGAGGGTGGCGGGGCAGTGGGGAGGGAAGTGGGGGGCAGGAGAGACACGCACAGGAGCAGCATTAGCAGCGGCCAGGCCACGCTGGTTGGGCCATCTCGAGGCCCTTGCCTGTCTCTTGCACCTCCCTGCTGCACATGCCCATGCAACTCCACGCAACCCCATGCAACTCCACGCATCCCCATGCAACTCCCACGCAACTCCATGCAACTCCACGCAACCCCATGCAACTCCACGCAACTCCATGCAACTCCACGCATCTCCACGCAACTCCACGCATCTCCATGCAACTCCACGCATCTCCATGCAACTCCACGCATCTCCATGCAACTCCACGCATCTCTATGCAACTCCACACATCTCCATGCAACTCCACGCATCCTCATGCAACTCCCACGCAACTCCATGCAACTCCACGCAACTCCACGCATCTCCATGCAACTCCACGCAACCCCATGCAACTCCACGCAACCCCATGCAACTCCACGCATCTCCATGCAACTCCACACATCCTCATGCAACTCCCACGCAACTCCACGCAACTCCACGCATCTCCATGCAACCCCCCCGCAACTCCACGCATCTCCATGCCACCCCCACGCATCTCCATGCAACTCCACGCATCTCCATGCACTCCACGCATCCCCACGCATCCCCATGCAACCCCACACACCCCAGTGCCTACCCGAGCCTCTCTCCGCACTTCTCTTCATATGTGTGTCTCGCTGCTTGTCCCTGTGCCTCCGCACACGTCCCCGTGTGCCGCCGTGCGTCGCTGTGTCCACCACGTGTCCCTGTTGTGTCTGTGTCCCCCGCGTGTCCCCCGCGTGTCCCGTGCGTGTCCACCGCGTGTCCCTCTTGTGTCTGTGTCCCCCGCGTGTCCCCCACGTGTCCCCCACGTGTCCCCCACGTGTCCCCCGCATGTCCCCCACGTGTCCCCCACGTGTCCCCCGCGTGTCCCCCACGTGTCCCCCGCGTGTCCCCCGCATGTCCCCCACGTGTCCCCCACGTGTCCCCCACGTGTCCCCCGCGTGTCCCCCACGTGTCCCCCGCGTGTCCCCCACGTGTCCCCCACGTGTCCCCCGCGTGTCCCCCGCGTGTGCTCGCACCTTCTGCTGGATGAGCGCGTGCTTGTGCTCCATCTCCCTCTTCTCCACGGCCGACTCCACCACCAGCTGGTCCAGCTGGGACACAGCGAGGAAGGGGGCACCATGGCCGCGCGCCGCTCAGCGGGGGTAAACTCCACGGTCTTATGCCGGGCTCCAGATTTTACCTCCTCGCACGACGAAGAGTTGTTGGCACACGGACGCTAAGTACACGAGCCTCACCGTCTGGAACTCATTTTTACTGACCCCAGAGTGATGATAATGATGATGATTGATAGAGCGACGAATATTATCATGCTGGTGGGATAAAGGTGCGTTTTGGCCTCTTTTCAGTGGCCGTGTCAACCATTAGGAGGGATCAACATCGTCCCAACGTTGCATTGTTACTGGGTGACCTGCATCACAGGGCTTGCCAGGTGTTGGAGGCATGGCGGGCTGCAAGAGGTATGGCCAGGTCATCGTATGAAACAAGTTGTACGTATGTACGTTGAACTTCTTTCGCACCGTACGTAGCCAAGCCGTGCTAATCGGTGGTTGCAGAGCGGGTTGCTGGGTGCGCTGTTCTCCGGGTTCCCGCACGAACACCAAATTCTCGGAAACTCAATTGGCCAAGCGCCGTCGTCGGGATGCGCCAGAGGAGTCGAAGAATCCTCCCGAGCTACTCGGCACACAAAGCCGTGAAACATCTACCACGGTGTCCGGCGTAGATCCCCCGAGTTCCGGCGAGATGGGGCACATTGGACGCAACAACATGGGCCGGATAACGGTTACGAGGGCCCTAAGGCGAATAGGAGGGAAAGGCCTCACAATGTACTGCATATTGCAAACAAGCAAAACATTATTAAGTCATGAAAAGTACGTATTAACCTTTGTAAAAATTAACACGTGTATTCGACTCAGGGTGAATTCATCGAACATAAATCGCTCCCTGGCAGTGCTACACCGTCGCTCAGCTGCTACTTCAACGCGGAAGCGAGGGCCTAAAGGGCCTAGGGCCTAACGCCGACAGCCTCATTGGCTTGCGGGTTAGTCAGGCCCTAGCGACTCTCAACGGCCACATAGTGGCTCCCTCCCACAACCTTCATTTGAATTCCGCCCTTATTCTCAAACGAAGCGTCATCTTTTTTGACTATTCAAACTTTAAAGACGGGGGAATAAAACAAATAGTAATAAAAGACCCCCGCACACAAAACAACAAAATGAATCAAATAGCGTCGGTGGCGGAATGCCACGTGTCCCCGAGACATCGTGGCCTACATGGGTCGGCAGCCAACGCTGACTGGGCGGGGAGAGGAAAGGGAGAGTGTGGGAGAGCGAGGAGAGAGCAAGAGGAGACGGAGCAGAAGAGAAACAGAGAGAGAGAATGGAATGGAACCGAGTTCAAGATAAACAGGGAACGGCAAGAGCAGGGGAGAGAGAGAGAAGGTGAGGGGTGGGGGAAGCTGTTGGTAGGAGGAGAAGGGGAGAGAGTGAGTCAGGACAGAGAGAGGAAGAGGGAGGGAGAGATGCAAGAAGGGAAGGAGGCTGAGAGTGGGAGGCAGAAGCAGAACTACAAAGGGCTGGGGGAGGAGGGTTAGAGACAGCGGGGGGGAGGGTTGGGGGGAATACGTGTGAAAGAAACCTAGAGGAGTGGGGCCGGCTAAGGCTGCATGCGCACACACGAGTCGACACGTGTGCATTCACACACACACACACGTGCAGACGCGTGTTTGTGTGGATGTACATGTGTACATTCACACACACACACAGACACGTGTACATCCTACCGGTCCCGCTGGTCCCACCGGCCCCACCGGCCCCACCGGCCCACGTAACGAGCCGCCGACGGCTCTCGCCGTGCCGTGCGCCGGCTTCGCGAGCCTCAGCGGTGGCGACCCCGCTCACCTGCGAAGCGAGGTTCTTCATGTAGGGGTCGAGGTTGTTGAGGAGGTCGAAGCCCTGCTGGAAGAAGGCGTACTGCGCGTGCATGTAGGAGAGCATCTGCCAGGGGGGGGGAGAGAGGCGCGCGGGCGCGGTGAGAACCCAGACAGAGTAGACGGGGACGGGAGGACAGGCGGGCGGGCAGACGGACAGGCAAGGAAGACGGGCAGATAGGGCCACGGGCAGACAGGCACGGAAATTGGACGAATAGATGGACATGCAGGCAGGCAGGCAGACATAGAGAGACGATAGGGGAAAGGCCAGTGGCGATTGGAGCCAAGAGGGAGCGACTGCGCGAGTGGGAGACGGTTAGAAGCGCGGAGAGAAGCGAGGGGGACGGGGGAGACGCCAGGATGAGTTGAGGAGGTGAGAGGGGCGGACGAGGTGCGACGGAAAGAAACCTCGAGAGGGAGATTCTGTTGGGGGGGGATTAACGATGGAGAACAACACGGCAGAGCGGACGGCAGTCAACGGCGTCACAGCCGGGAAAAGAAAAAAACACGAAACCCCGAATCCGTACCGAATCGAGAACCTCCAGTCTCTTTTTGGTCTGAAGAACGTTGATCTGCGAGACAGAATGAGACAAAATGAGACAAAATGAGACAAATTGAAACGCGACGATCACACGGACAAACGGGCAAAGGCAGCGATGATTCCCGATCCCCATGGCGCGACACACAGGGGTCGATCGGTCAATTAAAAAAATAATAAATGTGTAATTAGTCGATGACTCTGAACAGCATCGTGCCTCCCGAAGGTGGGAAACCCCCGCCCGCCCCCGCCCCCCCCACCAAGACGATTTGTTTTCGTTTCTTTCAAACATTTTCAGCCGTTTCACCAGAACCGTCGGCTGCTTGTGGGGCCCCGTGGCACCGCGCTCACTCGCTACTTGCGGCGTAGGTTCGCGGTTCGAATCCGTCGGGCCGCCCTGGTGATTACTGCGGCGTGCGCGTGTGCGTGCGTGTGTGCGTGTGTGTGTATCAGCCGGTAGAATAATACACACCACCCGCTTCCAAGATCCTCACGGGTTCCTAAGCGATGCGTCGCCACCACGTGCATCGGTGTCGCGTCACACGTGCGCACGCAACACGCGTCTGTGTTACGGTTATGGAGGACTGTGGGGTTTTTATTTTTTTCCGTTAAAATAATGGTTTCCTGAACTTGCAGGTTTGGCGCCGCGCCATCGGTGCTCAGCGTCCCCCCCCCACCCCCTGCCTGCACCGTTTAGGTCGCTTCCCATGCAAAAACAACGGTGCGTACGCGATGAAGGGAGGATCGCACACACGTACACATGCACACAGAGACAACGATCCCCCGTATAGCCTGAACAGACCGTTGGGGCAAGTGCTGTTGGCGAGCACCTATGAAAGCGGGACCGGCGCACGAAGGGGTGGGTCGCCAGCACCACGCCCGGTCGCCATTGTCTCCCCAGTGGCGATGTTTACCCACCACACTAGGGACTCATTTGAGGCCGAGTCGCTCTAGGGGAGGCCCAGGACTGGTTCAGATTATCGTCACTGGTGTTGGCCATGAGCGGAAATCGAACTCGGGTCGCTGGGTTCATAGCGCGGCGCGCTAACCACTACACTACCCCACACCCATACACACATACAAGGACAAAGATCCCCCCATAGCCTTTAACAGGATGCTGGGGCAAGTGCTGTTAGCGAGCACCGATTAAGGCCGGCACGGCACACCTGTGAGGAGGGGTGGTGTGGCAAGCAACACCACGCCGGGCCGCCTTTGATTCCCCAGTGATGATTTTTATTACACACAGCACCAGATGCTAAGTTAAAGCCAAGCCATCCTAGGCGGGCAACCCAGGACCAGTTGGTAAATTTGTCAACGCTGTTGGCCGAGACCGAGAATCAAACTAGGAAGGCCAGGTTCGTGGTAACAGCGCGCTATCCACTGCGCCCCCGCTCTATACGCACGCGCCCACGCACGCCAGGAGCGTTCAACACACGGAGCTTCGATCGTGTCGTGTCCAGAGGCAGCACCGCCAATGCTGCCTCCCACTCACTCCTCCTTCTCTGAGATTTGGAAAAATCGTTCCAACGTCTCCACCAGTGGGAGCACCGGGGCCGCCCGCCAAGTCGGCGCGTTTCGGCCGAGATATGCGACTCTGGCCCAGAGTTTTCTCGCGATCAAACGAGCGTTTCGCGGACGGAGGGCGAGGTGGTGGTGGTGGTGGTGGGGGCGCAGATTTCCGTTGGTCATCACTGGGATTTCCCCATCCCTTTGCTGGGAATTAGCCTCTTCGTAGAATACAGTATAACAAAAATGGTTTTCATCGTCAGCCAAGGTCAATCCACTTCCTCCGCCGTCACCTCTCATGATCCTGCGATTACCGCAGAGCCTGACCTCTGCGGTCTTCAAAACATGCAGCAGGCAACATTTCAATGGCCCCTCCTTCTTCCACAGAAGGGCCATTGCCCAAAACGTGGCCCATTACAGACGTGATCACATGTAGCGACGTATAAATATATACACATAGAGAGAGAGATTTTCTGGTCAATCGTGGGCGGATAAAGTCCGGATTGGAACCCCCCCAGGATTTTGGCGTCACTTTGCGTTGTAAGACCCCGACGAGAGGGCCCTTCAGCACCCATCCGGCTCAACGCTTGGCCACGCGAGCCTCCAGCCGACACTCACCGCGCCCGCCACACTCGCCGCGCTGGTGCAGCGGTGTTGGCATGGGCCCCCCGCCCACCCATCCATCCATCCGCCCACTCCGCCGTGCACCACCTGCCCGCTCAATAGCCACGCCACCCTGGCGGTGGTCACGGGCACGAGCCACGTCACCTGACCCGTGGAATTGGCGCCCTGTGTCTTCGGTTTCGGGGTGGCAGCAGAGGAGCCGATTTGTAACCAGGGCCTGGCGCCGCCGGTGTTGTGCCAAACCCCATCGCAGTAGACGGCACGGTTTGTGACAGGGCCCTAGGCTGATTGTGGAAAATGTGATTGGCAACGTACGGTGTGAAAGAAGTTCAAGATACATACAAGGAATGCAATGGGGGGCCCCCCTGTTCAATTTACCCGTGCCCCCCTTTGTGGACCGGTGGCTGGGTCACTCCAGCCCGCCGGCTTTTTAAACCTTGATTTAAAAAAAACATTCCGAAGTGATTTCCTGCTTAAAGCAGCATCAAGGCGGCGCTCATTCCCAGTCTACACATCTGTTGAAAGTGATCATTCCACGCTTCGGGCAAATGGCCCTGCTGCATAGCACATCACTGCTGTGACAAGAGGCCGTCGCTGCGACGCAGAAGGGCCACAGATACAGGCAGAGTTATCGATGAATGCCATTGAGTGTTTTTAACGAGCAGGTAAGTATCGTGAAGGGGATTTGTTGCCTGCCCCCACCTCACCACTAGCGGGTCCTGGCCAGCCACACTGAGCCCCCCCCCCCCCCCGAACCCCCCCCCCCCCCACCACTTCAAGGTCTAGGGGGGTCCTGGAGCGCGGCGTGGTTCGAGCTGCTGAGTGGATCTCATCGGAGGGAGGGAGGAGCCGCTTACATTAAACACGACGCGCGTGCACAGACCTTCAATTAGTGTATTGATTGATATTGACTTTACATGTGTGCGTGTCAATGTGGATTTTTGTGCGTCTGTGTGTGGAGGGAGTGGTGGCGCAGTGGTTAGCGCGCCGGTGCTATGGACCCCGGCGACCCAAACTCGATTCCCGCTCACGGACAACAACCAGTGACGATTATCTCAACTGGTCTTGGGCCTCCCCTTAGTTAGCCTCAAAAAAGTACCTGGTGCGGTGTGTAGATGTAGCGACGTAGCATGGGTCACTACGGCACGTAGCGCTGGTTACTGACAGAGCGGGGAATTATGGGTGTAGCAGCCGATGCAGTCCCATGGAATGGGTCACGAGGGTGCGTAGCGCTGGTTGCTGGCAGAGAGAGGGCATCCGAGGACGTAGCAGCCTGGTCGGCTAACAGGGCACGTGATAGGCCGGGGTAAGGGATGTAGGGCAAAGGCTACAAAGGGGACACGTGGGGTATAGCCCAGAACCTTCTGGTAGGTTCCATAAGGGGGCGTGGCCGAGCGCGGAGCCAGGCCACGCTGGGGGGTATAAAAGGGAGGTCCCGAGGCTGGATCGGGGCTGTCGTGTGGAGTGGAACCTGTCGTGCCGCGTCTGACCTCTGCGATCTTGTCTCCTCGGCGTCGTGGGTCAGGCGGCGTCCTGGCTGTCCTCACCCTTCCGTAGTTATCCCGCGTGTGAACAGAAGTGTTTAAGTGTAGAATAAACGCATGTGCCTCCTACTATTAGTGTCTCCAAAGTGACTCGCTACATAAACATCACGACTAGGGAGACAAAGGCGGCCGGGCGTGGTGCTGGCCATCCACCCCCACGTGTGCCACGCCGGCCTTCGTAGGTGCTCGCTAAGAACACTTGCCCCAACAGGCTGTTCCAGGCTATACGGGGGATCTTTGTCTTTGTGTGTGTGTGTGCAAGAAAAAGGACTTCATGAGAACAGGATATTAAAAATCTATGCCGATGCAGATGCACACTCACAGTAACAATTTCACTTTCCATGCTCGTTCTGGTTCTAAGGGTTGTTGGATGTATCTGCTTTTCTCCCAGTCACGACTGCCTGCGTGCGCCTATCCAGTAAGGAGTGGTGTTGTGCTGTTGTTGTGTTATTGTTGAGTTTTTACTGGTTTGTTGTTGTGTTGTTGTGTTATTGTTGTTGTTGTGGGGGTGCTTGCGTGCCCGTGCCTGTAGCGCGTAGTCGAGCGTCAGGTGTTGTTGTGTTGTCGTGTTATTGTTGTTGTGATGTTATGTCGTTGTGTTGTTGTTGTGATATTGCTGTGCTGTTGTTGTGTTATTGTTGTATTATCAGTGTGTTGTTGTTGTGTTATTGCTGTCGTTGTATTGCTGTTACGTCATTGTATTATTGTTGTGTTCTTGTCGTGTTGTTGTTGTGTTGTTGCTGTGTTATTGCTGTCATTGTGTTGCTGTTACGTCGTAGTGTTATTGTTGTGTTGTTGTTGTGTTGTTGTTGTGCTATTGTTGTTGTTGTGGCGGTGCTCGCGTGCCCGTGCCTGCAGCGCGTAGTCGAGCGCCAGGTGTTGTTGTGTTGTTGTTGTGTTATTGTTGTTGTTGTTGTGGCGGTGCTCGCGAGCCCGTGCCTGCAGCGCGTAGTCGAGCGCCAGGTGTTGTTGTGTTGTTGTTGTGTTGTTGTTGTGTTATTGTTGTTGTTGTGGGGGTGCTCGCGTGCCCGTGCCTGCAGCGCGTAGTCGAGCGCCAGGTGTTGTTGTGTTGTTGTTGTGTTGTTGTTGTGTTATTGTTGTTGTTGTGGTGGTGCTCGCGTGCCCGTGCCTGCAGCGCGTAGTCGAGCGCCAGGTGGCGGAAGCACTTGCGTGTGGAGGCAAGGGCGGCGCTCGCCTCCTCCATCTCGTGCGGCCGCGTGCGCGACACCTGCGCGTTGCGCGCCAGCGCCCCCTCCATGTCCTCGCTCATCTTCTCAAAGTGCTTCTTCGTCTCCTTCAGCTTCTTCACGTCCCTGCGGGGGGCAACGCAGGGGTGAGGGGGTGGGGGGGGTGGGGGGGAGGGAGTGGCGGCGGGGGGGGGTTGGTGGGCCTTAGTCGGATGGGAGCGGATCGGAAGGGGGGCGACGGATCGGCGGTTGGGTGCCGCGTTGACGTCGCCGTGACCTCCGCACTCTCGCCCTCGTAGAGACAAAGATCACCCGTGTGGCCTTAACGGACTGTATGGGCAAGTGCAGTTAGCGAATAGCAACTATGAAGGCCGGCACGGCACACGAGGGGGTGGGTGGCCAGCACCATGCCGGACCGCCTTTGTCTCCCCGGTGGCGATGTTTACACACAGCATCGGGTACTCATTTGAGGCCGAGTCGACCTAGGGGAGGCCCAGGACCAGTTCAGATAATATAATCGTCACTGGCGGTGTTGGCCGTGAGCGGGAATCGAACTCGGGTCGCCCTAAAGCTCACACTCTCACTCTGACACTCATCATCACATTCTCTCACGTTCACACTCAACACACTCATCCTTATCCTCACGCACTCACACGCTCAACACACTCATCCTTATCCTCACACACTCACACGCTCACCCTTACACTAACAACACGCCTGTGATCACAACTTTAGTCTACACACACAAAGACAAAGATCCCCTGTATAGCCTTAACTGACTTTTGGGGCAAGTGCTGTTCGTGAGTAGCGCCTACGAAGGCCGGCCCGGCACACGAGGGGGTGGGTGGCTAGCACCACGCCCGGCCGCCTTTGTCTCCCCAGTGGTGATACTTATACACCGCAGCAGGTACTCATTTGAGGCTGAGTCGACCTAAGGGAGGCCCCAGGACCACACGGACAGAGACACGCGCACGCGAGATGCACAGCCGTCGCACGGCCGCCCGCTTACTCTTTGACGAACTTCTGCAGCTGCAGCTTGATGGAGCGGTGTGCCTGATCGAACAGCACCTGTGGGCGCACAGAGCGGACGGTGACACGCGGCGTCTCAGGGAGCCAGGGAGAACCAGGGGGCGGCCGAGGGAGTGCGCCGGGGGACAGCGCAGGGCAGGCGGTGGCGGCGACGGCGTGGATACCGTGCAGGAGAAATGCACGGCGCGAAACGAACGCCTCAGCAAGGCCGTGCTCGCTAGGGGCGAGGACATCACGTGAACTGTCCGCGTATCCGTGGCCGAACAAACGAGATGGACAATAATGCGAGCGGGAAGGACAATACAAGACGGGCGATACAAACGAGGTGGACAACGCAAATGAGACGGACTCATTTGAGGCCCAGTCGACAACGGTGACGGTTTAAATGACCGTAAACTCTGGCCCAGGCGGCACAGTGGCTGGCGCCAACAAACGGCTAACGTCAGCGGCGAGCGGCGTCTCGGCCGGCGGAAACGGAGCGCGGGAAAAGGTCAGCCAGAGGTCGCAACCGGGTACCCGATACCCGTACCCTACCCGATACCCGGCTACCCGTACCCGGCCGGGTACGGGTACGGGTACCCGTTTGCGACCCTGGTGCAGCCGGGTACGGGTACGGGTAAGGAATCAAAACCCGTTTGCGACCTCTGAGGTCAGCCTAGAGGGGTGCTTCCGTCAATTCCTCAACGTCATCGCCCGTCATCAGCCACGCTCAATCCACCGCTGGACAAAGGCCAATCCCAAAGGCGTCGCCCATTGCGTAACAGAACCGGCGCGGAGCTCGCTTCTCCCCCGGACAGATCGCCATGGAGATGTCTCGGCAGAGGTCGCAAACGGGTTTTGATTCCTTACCCGTACCCGGCCGCACCAGGGTCGCAAACGGATACCCGTACCCGTACCCGGCCGGGTACGGGTAGCCGGGTATCGGGTAGGGTACGGGTATCGGGTACCCGGTTGCGACCTCTGTGTCTCGGCCTTGCCCGACGTGCCCATGGCACGGGAGCAAGAGGGCAGTGTTCGTGAATAACAAACAGTAGCAGCAACACGGCCGAGAGGCGGGGAGGGGGTAGATTTTTCTGGCCCAGGCGTGTACAGGCACGTGTTCTCCGAGCATTGTTACGCAATCCCGTAGACAATAGATTTGGTAGTCACGACACATTTTTTAGAACCCGCCCGCGGGCGCACACACGCGGGCAGAATGCATGGGCGCAGCCCTGCAAACGCGCCGCGTTCAGCGCAACCGCCGGCGGAAGTGACCTCCACCCGAGGGAGCTTCGGATAGCCCCTCCAGACTCGAGCATATTACCCCAGGGTAGTTAGCCCGCCTGGAAGAGCGGGGGTTTCCCACACGTTATCCCAACGCCACCACTCGCGTCCCTGGTTACCCGTTTATACCGCTGCTGTTTTTCGTATCGCAGGGGGATGCCCATTTAAAGCGCGCGAGAGCGCTCTGCCAAGGACCGGTTCAGATGTGACTCGCCGCTGCCACCGGTCGCGAGCGGGAATTGAACTCGGCCGAGGCCGGGTTCGTAGCGCGGTGCGTTGTCCGCTGCACCACCACTCGCGCCAAGCGCTCATCATCGGCCGTGGCTCAACCGGGGGGCAGGCGCCTGCCCCCGCAACGTCGAGATTGGCGAGGCTCGACGGGGCGTCCTCCTCCGACGTCTCTCGAGCGTGCGATCGTCCCGAAAAGCGTTCCCCGTCGCGTGCCGCTCGACGGCGCAGGCGGTGGCGGCGGCGGCAGCGCGCGAGGCCGCGGTACGAAGGGGGTAGCGGTGAGACGGAGCGCCACAGGCGTCGAGAGGATCGGCAGCGCACAAACATTTGGAGGGTGACAAAGCAGACGAGCAAAATTGATTCTTAAATCGAATTTGTGACCCCAAAATATGTTGGGGTGGGCGGCTGGTGGTAAGGGGGGGTGGGGTGTATCATTAATTTGCCCAGTGATGGGATTCCCTGGCTAACGAGGGCTAAGAAGGTTTTATTTTGCTAGAATTAATTTACTTTGGTGTTTAATTTGCGCCGAAACAAATAATTCCACGTGGCAACTGGAGGCGAACGTTTTTTTTTCGCGATTCGTAACGTTCATCAAAGGAAGCACATAAAAAAAACAACAACAACAATGCCCATTGTTAACCCAGGGCAATGTCACACGTTCACCATTACAGCGAAGGTCTATTGTGGTCCACGCATCTCACTGTAGAATCTCCCCGGCCCCGTGGTCTGTCACCTGCGACCCGCCGACTGCCAACTCGCCCCCAGGGTGGTTGATGTCATCGGCAACCAGATGACTCCCCACCGCCCCCAATAACCCCCATTGTCTACCCTCCCAACCACCACCACCCTTCCACTGTCGCTTACCGAGGCATTACATCACCATCGATGCACACACCGAGGCCAAACAGGGGGCCCCCTACATTGTTATGGCAGGCACGGGCTCACAAAGCCTGAACGCTTTCTCTCTCTCACTCTGCCGCACACTGAGCTCAGTATCTCTCCCTCTCGCAATCGCTCGCTCACACTCTCTCATTCCTCTCGCTCTCTCTTGCTCATTCTGTCGCTCTCTCTCCGTTGCTCTCCCCTCGCTCTCTCTCCGTTGCTCTCCCCTCGCTCTCTCTCTCACTGTCACGATTTCGCTCTCTCTCTCTCACTATCTCGCTCACACTCTCTCATTCCTCTCGCCCTCTCTCTCTCTCATTCACTCTCCAACTCGCTCACTCTGTCACACTGCCACTTGCTCTCTCTCCCTCTCTGTTGCTCTACTCTCCACATCGCGATTTCGCCCGCACGCTCTCATCTCCCTGTCACGATTTCAATCGCTCGCTCACCCCCCCTCTTTCGCTAACCGCCCCCCCTCTCGCTCACCCTCCCCCCCTCTCGCTCACCCCCTCTCGTTCGCCCGCCGCCTCGCTCACTCCCTCGCCCCCCCTCACTCCCCCCCCGCCGCTCAGCCCCCCCCCCCTCACTCACCCCCCCTGCACGCGTACACACACACGTGCTCCCCTCCCCCACCCCCCCCCCACGTTGCCGGTTCAAAGCTCTTAAGCCGCTGACACAGAAAACAGAAATAATAATAAAACAGCGCCCATCATCAGCTGGCCTCGAGTGGAGCTTTTTTTAAAAGGGACATTGCGCAACACTCGAGTCGGGGCGGATTTGAAATTCGTTCCGATCGCGCCGTGACCCGCGTTGTGCCGTGATGACAACGACAACAACAACGACTACAAATACATTCCGACCGGTTCGTGTCGGGGCCCCTAAAACCGCTTGCCGTGTCTGTTTCCCCGAGACGAGGCCAGATTTACGGGACATCAAAGGAGGCGGGTGGGTGGGAGCTCATAATGGCCATGTCACGGGCACTAAGCCGACTTGTGTTTAAGATTCTCCAGGTCCGAATTCAAGGTCTCTCCGCCGACATTTAACCTGATTGACAAGCGTGGCGAGTTGATGCGGCTGGGGCCCTGACAAAGACAAAGATCACCTGTGTAGCCTTAACAGACCGTTGGGACAAGTGCTGTTAGCGAGCACCTATTAAGGCCGGCACGGCACACGAGGTGGTGGGTGGCCAGAACCACCACGCCCGGCCGCCTTTGTCTCAAATGAGTACCTGGTGCACCGCACCAGGTACTCATTTGAGGCTGAGTCGACCTAGGGGAGGCCCAGGACCGGTTCAGTGAGTGTTGGCCGCGAGCGGGAAATCGAACTCGGGTCGCCAGGTTCGTAGCGCAGCGTAGCGCTAACCGCTACACCACCGCTCCCCTACGAAGGGCCGGCACGGCGCATGAGGAGGTGGGTTGGTGGGTGGCCCCTGACACCACCACCACCAAAGACAAACGCACGAACAAGTCCCTAAACAAATATCATTTGGTCACCCAACTCAATTTCACGAACAATTCCAGCAATTAATAAAAAAAAACAAGCGTTCGTAAGAGATGATCATTTTTTGGGGTCAGAATCGCTGGCCGAAACTAAAATGTGTGTCGTACACCCACCTCCACCTGGCTGTAATCGAGTTTTTAGTCCAGAAGGAAACAGGAAGATTTCTCCACGAATCTGGCTGTCGCCTGATGATGCTGGTTGTTGCAATTACCAGAGAAATGTCACGGTACTGGAATTGTGAATGTTGTGGAGGGTTTACTCTCCAACACACAACCGGTATTATTCATAATCATTCTGGCGAATTGCCCGATGATGCTGGATGCAATTACCAGCAAAACGTACTCAAAAATTGTAAATATTGTGGTTTCACGCTTCAACACACCGGTGGGCTAAAGCAGTGAACTATTTGTCTTTTGTCAACGTGACACTTTTTTACTGATTGGCCGTGTCGGGTGGTGGAGGGTTACGACACATTTATAAATAACGCGATCTAAACCCAAAAACGTTGATTATGAACACAACCGGTAACTAATTGGCATGTTGTGTTTACGTGACAAACCTTACTGATCGGCTGTGTCGGGTGGTGGCGGGTTTAACGATGCATCTATATTTACGCCATGTAACCCAACACAAAAAAACCTCTTATGGATGTAATCGAGTTGTCACGTGATGAACAAACGGTTGTGTCGTACACCCTCCTCCGCGTTGGGCGGAGGGTTTATTTGTTTGTTTGTTTCGAAGATCTCACAACGCTCACCGTGTAAAACTTGACGACCTCCTGCAGGCCTGAGGCAAACTTGTCCAGACACTCCTGTTGCCATGGAAACAGGGGGGCCCGGGGGAGGTGGGGGGGGGGCATCACTCACGGTTAGCAACGCTCACGGTCACATGATGCTCATGATGATGGTGGTGGTGGCGATGGTGGTGGTGATGATGATGGTGATGTATAGGGGTAGCCACAATGGGAAACAAACAGTTGCATGATACTGATGACATTGGTGAAGATGGTGATGATGACCATGACAAGAATGATGATTCATGATGTCGTGATGACGAAATTAATTGATGATGTTCGCCGGTGATGATGATGATGATGGCGGCCATCACTTAGCAACACTCCGGCGACGATGGTGATGCACCATCCCCTTCCCTCCGAACAACAGGAGCCGTCATATTCATGACGCCAGGATATCTGACGATCACATTATCTCTTGAGGAGCCACACCACACTGTACGATTGTTTACATCTCGACATCGGCAGCTGTTGTTGTTGCCGCTGTCGCTGACTTTGACATTTTAAACCCAAAAACCAGCGTGGAAATTCAACCCGGCAGTTTTTTAAAAATACTTATTTTTTTAAACAAGAAACTAAACAGCCGTGCGCGATAGGCGTCTCGGCCACTCGACGTTTACTCGCTATCGATTTATCCGAGCGCCAATCCTCGACAGGAAGGGAGAGACGGGGAAAGGAGGGTCATGCAGAGGTCACGTTGAGGCCACGTGAGGGGTCCCGTGGGGGTCATGTTGAGGTCACGTGAAGGTCACGAAAGCTCAGCCGCAGCCCCCTGCCCCCTCAATCCCAGAAACGGGTTAGTCTCTTATCTCAGACTGGAGGAATCTGATGAACTATGAAGCTCTTTTTCACAGATGTCCAAGATAGGGGGAGGGGGGGTCATGACACCTTCAATCGCCCTGTTTTGTCTTTGGCCATTTACGGTTTTGGGCATGAGCAGTGGTGATTCTTAAATAAATATCTCCCACCACTCTTATCAATACACCCCATCAAATCTTTTAACGGTCTCGTCTCTGGGGTACGGAGCCGTCGCGAGCACAGGGTTCAATCGCCCAACCGAGGAGAGAAACAGCCGTCGCAAATCGGCGGGGTGTCTGTAAACGCTGAAGTGTTCATCTGGGGGAAGTTTTGCATGGTCCAGTCAAGGGGTCTCTGCGGACAAACGCCGTTGATGACATAACATCTCAACATCATCGCTTCCTTCCTTCTGCCAGATCCAGCAATTGTTGCACAGAGGAAACTCAAACCTCTGAGGTCAACGCTCACGATCTCCCTCCCGTCTGGCTCAGAGAGTCTTCGTGAGGCCCTTCTTGCGCGAGGGCCACGAACGCTGCCCCCAGCGGGTGAGGGGGGTGAGGGGGGTGAGGGGGGCAATCGACCCCCCACCACCCCCACCCCTCGAGTCCCCAGTGAAATACACTGAATGTTTTTTGTTATTGATGTCAGGAGGTCCCTATTAAACTAATTTATTTAAATTTCAAGGACTACCACCACCGCCGCCCCCCCCATCCCCCCACGTGAATCAGCTTGCGTGTGTCCCGGGCGACCGATCGTGGATACAGGGGAGCAGGAGAATCCGCGGTGGTTACGAGGAACCACATCCCCCGGGGGGGGGGGGGGGTGGGTGGGCGGGTGGGCGGGCAGAGCTCCTGACCACGAGCATGTCGTCCTTGCGGGACTGGGTGACGAGGTCCCGCAGCCCGTTGACGAAGAGGCGGTTGGCCACGTTGTACGCCTTGCCCGCCTCGATCATCCCCCCGCACAGCTTCACCAGCTGCGAGGGCGCGGGCGGGGGGAGAGACGGCGAGCACGCACACACACACACACACGCGCACACACACGCACACACAAGCACACGTGCACACACACACGCGCACACACGCACACGCGCACACACATTCGCACGCACACACAAACGTTTTCACGAAATGGAGTTTATTTTGTTTTAACTGACTGAGAAGAAGCCAAGTCACTAAGAGTGACATGGGGGTGGTCGTCTGCTTGTAGGGGGGAATGATTGCTACGTTTGGACAAATGATAGCAATCGTCGCCACCCCCTCTCCTGGCACATTTGACAAACAATTGTACAATTAAAAAGTCTCCAGCAGTGCGCGGCGACTGTGGCCACGTATACGGACGTATGCTGAACTTCTTTCACACCGTACATAGCCAACCGCGCTCATCGTAGGTGCGCGGGAAGGACAACAAACTAAAGACAACCCAGAACAGGACCACGGAGCGGGTAATTGCATGAAATTTGTCCTAACACCCCCTCCACCGCCCAACAAGAGCCACATAAGTTGTCACGCGGCGCGTGTGCACGCGTGGAGCGACCGGGCAGATTACCCCCCCTGCCTCGGAACGCTCGCCACTTGGGGTGGGAGAGAAATCCCAGGACCGGACCCGCGTCCTGACGGTGCTCGACGCAGCTGCAAGCGAAGCGTCGCGCGTAATCCGATTTGGCAGCTTGGGTCGTGAGATATCCCAACCGGTTTGACGCGGACAGTGCTGTGATGTTATCTCGGCGATAACGGCCCCATCGCCCGGCACACGCGGGTTGCATTTACACGTTCCGTAATTAATTCGCCATTATATAATCCGATTGTAGGACTGCTTGCTACATTGGGCACCTCTGGTAGTGAGAGAAAGAGAGACACACACACCACACACACAACAGCCCCAGGGCTCAAACACGGATTCTCACAGTGAATGGCCAAGTTATATTCACGCACGCATCATCTGATGGGAGTGGAGTGGTGGCGCAGCAGTTAGCGCTTCGCTGATGATGAACCCATAGACCTGAGTTCGATTCTTCTCCAAGGCCGACATTAGCTGTGAGTGACATCTGATCGGGCCCCGCTCCCCCCTTAACCGAACTGCACTGGCCAGCATGACCAATGTGACATGAGGGGGGGGGGGGGCGGGGTTCATCCAGCAGTTGATTGACGAAGCCCTGTACATTAGAATAAGAATAACAATCAGATTATGTCACCCAGGAATCGGGGCTCAAAAACCCAGCTGTTTGGGGGCGACGGGCTCCAAATGTCAATCATCAGGCTTCCTGAGCGAGCGAGGAGGAGAGGACACCCAGGGCTCGGGTTCGAACCCAGGCTGGGCAGCACAGCGGCTGCACGGAGGGGAGGGCAGTCGGCAACGTCCCGGCCATGGTGACCACCTCGGCCGTACAGTGCGCGAGGCTCAGCGGCGTGTGGTGACGTCAATTCCCACGGGAGGAAAATCGCAGGGAAAAAAAAATTCCAATAAAAAAATAAATTGTGGCCTCGCTCTCTCCCCCTGCTCGCCGCTCTCTCTCCGCCTCCTCCCCCCCCCCAAACTCCACTCCATCCGTCTCCCACTGCCTTGCTCGTGACTGCCTCCCCCCCCTCCCTCCCTCCATCAATTTCTGCTTCCTCCCCCCCTCCCTCCTTCCCCTCCCTCACTCAATTTCTCATTCCCTCCCTCCTTCCCCTCCTCCCTCCCTCCCTCTCTCCTTCCTTCTCCCTCCTTACCTTCGGTCAATCCCCTCATTCCTGCTCTCCCATCATTCCCACCCCCCTCCAATTCCTCCCCCTCCCATCTGCCTTCCCTCACACTGCATCTCTCCCATCCTCCATCCTCAATCCCATTCTCCTCCTTTCCCCTCTCCCACCGATCCCTCCCTCCCTCCTCCTCTCTCTCTCTCCCCTTGCTGTCCGGTTACTCGAGTCGTCGAACGAGGAAATCGACGTCTCAAGTTCATCGGCGTCCAAGCTCCACGCCAAATCACCGTTGACTTCTCCACAACGTGGTCATCATTTCAAAGACCACAACCCCCCACCCACCGGGGGAAGGATGATGGGCTGAGTCAACCTCGTGCCCGACCAGGAGTCGAACTCTTGACCTTGCCTGCGGGTGGGGGGGGGGTCCACTGGACCGGCTGACAACCGCATTGTGTGGTCGTCCTGTACGGATAGACTCACCGCTCACCCCCCTCCCCCGCCATAGGAATGTGGAATTTCCCCCGCTGAATCAGGACTGTGAGCAGCAGACGAGCACCGATGAACGAATGCCTCAATGCTCGAGAGAAATCGCACCGAGCCCCCAAAACAAATCGGGGCACGGATACCCTCCTGCTATGGTGCGCCTGTGTTCGTGCCAAGCTGGGGGCGGGAGGGGCAGAGAGGGTGAGTGGGGAGATGTAGTTGGGGGAGGGTGGGGGAATGGAGGGGGTTGTCAGCATCTGGAGGGTGTTTGCTGGCGGGAAACGGCCAAAACATCAATGCTTTCCGGTTCCCAAACCCAGCAGCCTGCCGCTGCTGCTGCATCGGCTCCGCTCGCCTTACACTCGCTCCGCTCTCTCTCTCCGCGCTCTCCATTCTCTCCCCCCACTCTCTCTGTTCCCCCCCCCCCCCGCCGTGCCCCGCTTCCAGTACCCATGAGATCTACACTCACCTCGCTCACCTCAAGCTCCCTCTCTGCGTCTCTCCCCCCACCACACACACACTGGGATCATCACCTCTGCTACTCCTCCTGACGCGGTAGTCTGCTGGCCTGGCCACCAGCATGTGACATCGTGGTTGTTGCTCTGCATAGACATCGTCATCATCAGCCGTACGAAAGAAGAAAGAACGAGACCTCCCAGACACTAAAGCTGTCATCACATCTTACCCCATATCACCCCCCACATACAACAACCACAAAAATGTAAATAGCCACCACGATCATAATTTTATGTTTAATACCATTAGGCTTCCACGACCAATATCATCCATAAGAGATGTTTTGGGGGTTAGATCGTGTAAATATATAAATGTGTCGTTAAACCCGACACCACCCGACACAGCCAATTAACACTTACAATCTGAGCACAGATTGGAGAGCCAAGCCACGACATTTACAATCTGAGAACAGATTGGAGAGCCAAGCCACAACATTTACAATCTGTGCTCAGATTGTAAATGTTGCGGCTTGGCTCTCCAACACACAGCGATTGGCATGTTCTATTTACTTGACAAACATTACTAATTGGCTGTGTCGGGTGGTGGCGGGTTTAACGACACATTTATATATTTACGCCATCTAACCCAAAAAAAACCCGTATTATGCATAGTATAACGATTACAACAGCCTACCACGAAACCAACAAATCCAACCACGACTGCAACAACAATTTACAACAACCGTGACCACAGCGGTTGTAATGGCCAGCGCACTGGGACCTGCAATCCAGAGGTGACCAGTTCGATTCCATCTCCAGGCGCGGCGGTCGAAAACAGTGGGGCGGGTCCCTGCCTCTCCCAGCCAGACAAGCGTGCACACCACCACCACCGCCGCCGCCAACACGGTTGAGGCGATCGGCGGCAGGCCAAAGCGTTGGCACGCCTTAAGATCTTGCGACACGTCCGGTCAATGTGGAGGAGTAGGTCAAATATCACGCGAGGGTTCACTCCGGTGGAGGTGCCTTCCGCAAGCGGTGGCGTGAGGCGAGCGGTTGCAGGGCTGCGCCCGGACATTCTGTTGTTTGTTTTTAACAGCTACTGATCTGTACCGTGTTCGTCTTCGACCACAAAGACGACGATTGTTCCGCGCTGCTTAAAGTTTTAGCGGAGGGGGTCAAGATCAGAGAAACGGGGAGGATCAGAGAACGGATGGAAGAAAGGAGTGAATTGTCAAATCCGTAAATGATGAGAAAAAAAACCCATGATAGCAGAAGGATAGCGGAGGCCGGAACACCCCGTGGTGTGGCTGTGAGGCCTCCACCGTGCAAAACATCGTTCCCAGAGGCAGACTTGGCAGCAGTGAGAATTGGTGGCTTACACTGTGCTGGTGAGTTCTAACGTGGACGAAGCCGGTCCACAGTTGTCTATCTGTTGCATCTCGGCTGCTTGCCTGAAGGTGGGTCACATTTTCTCAAATTTACTTTGATGCCGAGCTAAGACAGCAGGACCACAGCACAGTTACAGTGGAACCTCGGTATACGACCGCTTTGGAATACGTCGAATTTGGCACACGTCGTGTTTTTTCGAGAGAGAAAATGTCTTGGGATACGACGTCTTGCTTGGGATACGACGCGTTTGCTAGATGAGTCACCGCGTACCCGCGTAGACCCCGTTCACGACTGAAACAAAGCGAGAGGGGCGGGGTTGAGGCACGCCACGTGACCAGCGCAGCTGGCAGCAGCGCGGTCACGTGGCTTCTGTATACATTTTAGTAATTGGTGTCTAAATTATTTTATACAACCCCATTAATGTATAATATGCCATGTAAAATATCATTTATTTTCCTCTGGAACGGATTATTTTCTTTTCCTTTATTTATTACGGGAAAAATTCGTTTGGTATACGTCATTTTCGGTATAAGTCCTACCTTCTGGAACGAATTAACGACGTATACCGAGGTTCCACTGTACTTGGGAACTGCTGATGGTTTTAGAAGAACGCACAAAAGGCCGAGCGATTCACGTACGCGCTTTCGCGGCGCGTCTCGTGTTGGGGGAGCTCCGGTGCAGGAAGGGGACTGGAGGTGTGCGGGAGAAGGAATGATCGGGGGTCAAAGATGTCGGGGATGAGAGGATGATGATGATGAGAGGGGAGGGAAGAGAGGGAGAAAGGGAAGGAGGGAGCGGAAGTGAGTTTGCGTGGAGCAGCGTTTGTTTTCACAGTCGACGGCGGGGAGAAGGGATTCATAGTGGGGGTGGCCACGCACAAGTCACGTGATTCCCCGGAGTGTTGAGCCGATTGAGATAAAGAGTCGCCTCCCAGCACTGGCAATAACACGACGCAGCTTCGCTGACACCACAATGGGGATGTTACCGTCACTCAGCGGACAGGAAGGAACAGCGCAATGCTTCAGGCGAACTTCCTGGAAAAAGGCCAGTCAGCCAAAACAGTTCAAATCTAGATTTTTAGTTCAATATCCCTTTCCCCTCGGCGTCATTGTGAACGAAAAAAAACACCTACGGACATCGACATGCACTCGCCATGCCCCTCCGAGCGGGTACTCGTCTCCGTGATCCGCTAACCCCACATTAGACGGCCAAGAGGTGTGTAACGCCATGGAGTAGCGGGGGGGGGGGGGGGGGGGGCGAGGTGGCAGCTTGCGTTGCCACCTGTCGTGGCTCTCCGAGGGACATCTCCTTGTTCAGGTCGCTGCTGTGATGACGCACGACCAACGGAAGGAAACGTGAATGGCGTACTCCGAGACGCGTTGGGCGATGATAACGTATTAGGCAGAGGGAGGGGGCCATCATTGACTGGGAATGTCGCCCATTATATATTTATATACTTTACCTTTCTCAGTTATTGACAAACGTGTTGAATTTGTGTCTAATTCCGTTTAGCGGTTTTAATTAAACGATTGAATGCACGGATTACCGTTGTCTCCCCTCCCCCCCCCTCCTCCCCCCCTCCTCCTCCCCCCCTCCTCCTCCTCCCCCCTCCTCCTCCTCCCCCCCTCCTTCTCCCCCCCCTCCACCCTCTTCCTCCACCCTCCTCCTCCACCCTCCTCCTACCCCCTCCTCCTCCTCCCCCCCTCCCTCCCTCCACCTACCCCCTCCTCCTCCCCCCCTCCCTCCTCCTCTCCAGGAGGATGGAAGAGGGCGGGGGGGGGTACAGAGGGGGGGGGGGGCGTTGTAACCAGAGGGCAAATCACCGAGCGATGCTCGTTTTGATTTAATTACATGCGGCGGCGGACGCGACGGAACAGCTGCTGCCTCGAGCGCGTCGAGGTGTCGGGTCGCCAGACGATCGATCGCACAGCGACGCGAAACGCCAATCGCCAATCCTTCTTGCGCGTGGCACCGGTACCGCGAATCATAATAATAAAAATTACTGCGGGGAGCGGTGGGGTTAGCGGTCAGCGCTGTACTACGAAGCCGGCACTCATGGCCAACACCGGTCACGATTATCTGAATCGCTTCTAGGTCGACTCAGCCTAAAATGAGTACCTGGTGCGATGTGTAAATATCGCCACTAGAGAGACAAAGGCGGCCGGGCGTGGTGCTGGCCACCCACCCTGGAGGACCCAGAGAAAAATCCACGGGACCACGGTCGGGATCGAACCCACGACCTCCTGTAGACCAGGCGAGGGAGTTAACATCTCGCCACCGTGGCGACCCCCCCTCCCCCCGTCACGGATACGGGGGAAGAGCGGCAAAACAAAACCCCAGTGAGAGCATAAAACCGCGGTCCTGATCCGTGTGTCAAGTCGAACACCACCGCCAAGTGCAATTTCACTCCGTCGCCAGATGCCTCCACCCATCAGGAAAGGGGGGGAAAAAAAGAAACCTCACCGCTGCCGTACATCCACAACCACCGCATGACCTCGCCCGTCTGCTCACGATTCCATCTCCCATCTCTTCCCCCCAGTCCCCCTGCCACCCCCACACCGCCCACCATACCCCACCCCACAAACTGCCCAGGGCTGTAAAACCATGTTTTCACAGAGCCCGGGCTGCAAAGCAAAAATAATATATTCCTGCTGCGTAGGTTTTCCCGGTTGAGCTCGAACAGCACCAGCTCTCCTCCGCTGTGTTTCCCCGGTCAAAACTGCTGGGCGCGATGTCCGACGTTTCGCTCCCACGAGCTTCTTCGGTTTCCCAAAAGGGGCGATTGGCCATCGGGCAAGGATAAGCGGTGAGCGGCAGCCTCCGACGAAGAAGGGACCGCGCCCGAACATCGCGTCCACCTCGCAGATGGAGCGGCGTGGATCGGATCGGAGCTCCCGGCACGTGGAGTGAAACGCCGGACGTGGTGCCGAAAGGCTCGTGGGAGGGAGCGCTTTACGAGAAAATCTAAATATATATGTTCGAGCAAAAAAACAAAACCCCGCGGAAGGGGCAACTCACGTGACGCACGGTACAACACACTCGCGCACAGCGGGAAATTATCCGGCATACTGGGGCCAGATCGTGCCTTGTTTCGAGACCGATTCTCACATCTTGTAAAGCTAAGCAGAGGGCCCAGCCTGCTTTAGTGTTTGCATGGGGGGACCGCTAACAGGGCTTGCCCAGGTGTCGTAGGCGTGGGGCACAGTCAAACGTTGAGTCAAAACTCTCTGAGTTATTGTCCACTCTGCTTGTGTACCACCGCCAATGCAGCAGTAACAGCAGCAGAAGGAGCAGTAGCAGCAGCAGCAGCATCCGGCGGTAATCTGTGTACTTGATAAATGCCGGGCGTGTGGGGCACGCAATTTCCTCCCCAACCATCACCACTATCGGCGCAGCCAATCGGTGAACTCGCTGAATCTATTTATATGCGGGTGCAGCACATGGACTGGCCAACGCACGTCATGTCGGTCTGCATCGTTGCTCGGTAGAGACTCGGCAACTGCTCCGTCTCGTCACGGTCAGTCGCGCACCGCTCTTGCCTCTGGCTCAGCAGTGCCTTTTTTTTCGTGAAGCTCAGCAGCAGCAGCAGCCAGATGTTTAGGAGCTCGATGCCAATGTCGAGGTCTGCTGCTGCTGCTGGCTGCAACAACGAGAGGGCTTCAGCCGAGAGAGAGCGAGAGTTCGTGTCGTGTCGCTGTTCCTCCCCCCCCCCTCCTGCGTTGAAGGCCCGGCTTAGCAGTCGGAGCCGCCGTCAGCCTCGACGATTTTTTTTTGTTCACTCATCACATCATCTTCTTCTTCTGTCGCACGGCCGATGACGCAATTTCACAATCAGGTTGGTCAAGCCAGATAGCCGCGTCAGGAGCAGCGGAGTTGAAATTGCCGCGATGTCTCCTTCGTATTTGTGGATCGAGGCATTGGGTAACGCGTTGTACGCTGTACGGTCTAAATTTTGATTTAAAGCTTTCGTGACTGCAGGGATTCAAATTCTTGGTTCTTTCGGTAAAGTCACGTAGAAGGGAAATAATAAAATAATAAAAATATGAAACAATACAAATTCTCACAACGTTTCGACTGCAACAAAAGCAATCATCATCAGGTGGGAAATCCACAGCAAAAAAATTTGAAAAAAGTGGCGGTTTTTCCTGTACTTTCTTGCTGTGGATTTCACACCTGATGATGATTGTTTGTGTTGCAGTCGAAACGTCGTGAGAATTTTTATTGTTTAATATTTGTATTATGTTATTATTTCCCTTCTACATGACTTTGCTGTATGGTCTGTTCTGGATGACCACAGTCGCACACTGCTACTGGAGTTTTTTTTTTAACTCCACATCGATCGTTTAGAAATATAACAGACTAAATCATGAATGCAATTCCGCACCTCCGATTAGTAAAGTTGGCTACGTACGGTGCGAAAGAAGTTCAACGTGAATACGGCCATACATGAATATACCTGTCAAAGAATGTTTTGACAGAATAAAAAGGACTGGACGGTGGAAAGGGTTCCAAGGGAGAAGAATGGGGGTGCAGGTGCAGAGTTCGGGGGTCACCTACCTTCTCCAGCTTGACCTCCAGCTCCACCACATCGCCCTCGACCTCTTCGAGGCTCGCCCTAGTGGGGGAGGGGGGGGGGAGCAGGGGTCACACGGAAGAGGTCACGGTCAGAGGAAGTCGCTGCCACTGAGCGCACACCTCCATCCCAATTGAAGCCACTGCCGGGGTACCGATGGTACAGGCAGATATGTGACAAGGTCGGATATATCGCCTTTACTCCGGGCGCTCCGGTTTCCTTCCACATGAGTGAACACTCCTTTAATGCAGCTGAAAACACCTTAATGTGTGGAGGGCTGCATCACCACACTCGTGTACCACGTGATGTCATCGCCACACTCGCGTACCACGTGACGTCGTGCACGGAGAAAGGGCAAACTCGAACGAGTCAACATTCCGGGCCGGATTTATAATTGTTTTAGACAGCAGTGTCAGGACGATGAGCAGACCTCACAATCGATGACACCCTTGTTAGGGACCATCAGCACAGTGCAGAAGTCATTGCCTACTGCTGCCGAGTGTCCAGGATTACCACAAATCCTGGGATTTTTTTTTAACCCCAGGATCCTCCTCTTGTTGTTGATGATGAGAAGGAGGAAGCTGATCTCCTGGGAAATGATTCCGTCTTCCCGGGGACATTAAACGTCCCGGTAATTGTCAGTTGCGCAATCACCATCATCAACATCATCACCGTAACAATGAGTCGCCACTCGGGAAGACGCATTTTTACTTGCACGAGTGCATTTCTCCCCTCCACTTCTAATCATGATAAAAATAACAACTAGATATGTTGAACTTCTTTCACACCGTACGTAGCCAACCGTGCTAATCGGAGGTGCGTGTGGGGGGTGAAAAACAATAAACTAAACACAAAAACTTACAGCAGCGGCCTTTCACACAATCTCAAGGTGCTTGACGTCAGTGACAATGCAGTACGTGACTTGACCGAAAAAATCTAAGAGTTGGAAAAGATATATGGCGGGAGCGCTGCTCAGGCAGGGAGTTATAAAGGTTAGAGATCGGTGGATCCAAAGGGTCAGTGGGCGGGGCTAGAGAAATTTGCATGTAAGATAGGAGAAATCTTGTACATACATATTTACGTGTGCGTATACATAAAAATGGTCACAAGTGTTGCTTGGACTTTAAAACATTCCTCCCGCTCTCCTCCTTTAGACTCCGGTTTTTGCCGAATCACCAAATCAATTGGCCACGTTTGCCCACGACGCGACAACTCGGTTTGATTGGCGCTGTCGCTGTGTGGTGGAGGGCTTTTGAGTTACTGACAAGACACCCACACGACGACCGAACACAAAGCAAGCTGTGCATCAATCCCTCCCTGTTTCTCATCGTTTTACAGACAGTGTTCAAATTGTTGTTGTTGTTGGTGGTGGCGATGCCAAGGACAAACGGGAGGATTCTTTTTTTTTTTAATCGCGTTGGTCAAAACATCCCTGTGGTGTGATGTGACACGTTCCCTCTCTCTGGGTGGTCCTCACTTCCAGATCCCCCCTCCCAGATCTCTTCCCGTGACCCCATTCCATCACACACGTAGCTCTGATCCACTTTCATCTCGCACCACTGTTCGCTCATTCGCGTGCTCGCCTGCCCGCCCGCCCGCCCTCTGCCCTCCACCAAACGGTTTTGGCTCTGCAAAGGTCAAAGGCGCAGCCCTGCAACGGCTTTCTCACGCCACTGCCGCCAGAATGGGCCTCCGGTGATAGACGACCCCCTCGAGGAGGTAATTTCGGGCCGACTCCTCCAACAGCTCGACAGACGGACGTCTTGGAAGACGTGGGAGCACGCGCACATTAACCCCAACCCATCGTAGACTGTGCTACTACACCCGTGCCTACTGCTGGATGGACAGAGGCTTGGAGGGGGGGCAGAGGGGGGGGATTCAAATTGGTTTTAAAATAACGGCCTTTATTTCAAGAGAGGGCCACCATTCATGCATAACATTTCGGCGCCAATAAATAATTTACTGTGCTCTTTCGTCTTCAAACAATTTCGTGTCGGGGTCCGGGCGTTCATTGTACGGGGACGGTCGCAGAAAGGGCACGGGCCCCTCGGAGCCGAGATATTTCCACTTGGCAAGGTTGGCGGAAAGTGTATGGGCGCCCGGGGTGTCATTCATCACGACGAGGCGACGCGCACAGACAGAGGTGCCCCGTGTAGCCTCCAATGGGCCCGCTGGGGCAAGTGCTCTCAGCGAGCACCTAAGAATGGCCGGCGCTGGACACCTATGAATGAGAGGGGGTGGGTGGGTGACCTTCGCATGTTGTTATGGGTTGACCGACTGAGATGACCGGTAGATGCACCACCTGTGCTCCCTACTGCGCCAACTTGCTGTATTTTAGTCGCCCGGCGCTCTGCCCCTTGTTGTGAGCGTCGCTCCGTTGCCCTCCGTTGTTGCTGGAGGGCGACTGTCTCTAACTGCCCAGTAGCCTCCTTCACGAGCGTTCTCCACAGAGGTCGATCTTGACATTATTGGTACAAGTCATCAGCAAGTCCACTCAGCTCCACATCCTCCCATACCACATCAGTCCATCTCTTTGCTAGCCCCTGCGGTGCCCATTAAGTCCGCTCTATCCGACAAAACAGAAGCTGCTTGGGCATGCGGCGGCAGGACATGCGGGCTACGTGACCCAGCCAACGCAGCTTGGCCTGCTGGAGGAGGTCACTGAAGGAGACTGTGTCCAGACCTTACAAGGTTCTGTGAGCTGTGGTCCAGAGGACCTGCAGCATTGTGTGGAACAAAATGCCAGGCAGATTCCACAGTGGTTATGCAGCCGATGGATGATAAGACAATGTTGCTCGACTGATTAGAAGTGAGAACTCTGCTGCCAAACCGGAGCTGGTGATGAGCATGCTACCCAGGTATGGGAACTCCTCCACTCTCTCCACAAGTTCCCCATTACTCATGTAAAGTGGACGGGGGTGGAGCGTTTGATGACATGCATCTATGTTGAAATTCTTTCGCACCGTACGTAGCCAACCGTGCTAATCGGAGGTGCGGGGGAAGGACAACAACAACAAAATACCCAGGCAGTTACTTTGTTTTGGTGGGGGTGATATGATATAGCCCCACCTCTTAGTGGCATGCACAAAGTTCAGCAGCATAGTATCCAACTCATTCTCAGAGTGTGCAGCGATTACCAGATCATCAGCATACAAAACATCGTTGACAAATAGGCAGCCATCCCTTAATTGCACCTGGCTATCGATCAGCCTCCTATTGAATATCTCTAACAGATTGACATTCCTGCGAAACAGCCACGGAACATTTTCTAGAACTATGTGGTCAATGAAGATGTTAAATACTGTAAGGGGCCAGAGGATATCCCTGTCGTACCCCAAGGTGAACCGGAAACGGCTCTGACTCCCGACCACGCAGCTTTACCCGGGCATGCCCCCTCCCCCCCCCCATCATGAAGGTCCTTAATGATAGCAAGCAGAGGAGAATCCAAAGCCCTGGTTTCTTGATGACATCACTGGCCTTGCTTACACCTCTACTGTAGCAGATGGACAGCTCCTGCCCGAGTCTACACTGGAGCACCGTCAGCCTCTCATCACCATGCCTGGCAAAGTGACGCTGAATCATCCTTTCCGGGACCTTGACCGACACACACGGAGGTGGGAGATGCCCCGGTGGTTGTTATAATCGGTGCGGTCTCCCCTTCTTAGAAATCCCGAGGAAACCATCCTAGTGGTCCTAGCGGCTACAACAACGCCAGTCAAGGCAGCCTGTACACAACCGTCAACCTCTCTCAGCTATTGTCAGGCTCTGAATTGCTCTTTGTACCTACTCGGTAGGTCGCTCTTCAGCCAACCTATAGGCTACAGAGGGTGGCTACTTCCTTCAATATTCTAGGCTCTGCAGACCTAGCGGGGTCAACTCCACCTTGCCCCATGATTTTAGCTGGGCCCGAGAGGATCCGCCATCCTTCCTGTACGACCTCACGGACACATTCAGAAAATCTGTGGGCCACATATTGAGGCTCAGAGATGAGATCACCATTGTTGAGTATAGTTTATAGGTGTAGCACTGCAAATAACTTTTCAAATAGAATCATCGAGTGATTTCTGATCGTTGGCCACAAAGGTAACTTCCATCAATCCACCGCTGGGCGAAGGCCTCACCAAAGCCGCTGCCACCTCTCATGATCTCAGCGATGTGATACTCCACTAAGGACCCGCACGAGGACCGATCTCATCACTCCACTTCTTTCATCAACATCCCCTTTGTGGACGCGCTGCGGCAGTTTCCATCTGCTACGAAGCCCAGGCCAGCAACTCAACTCTCTCGTGCCAAATGGGCTCTCTCTATCTCTCTGAACCTCCGAGTGAAGGCTGCGGGTAAGCCCTCTCATTCTAGGGCATGGGTGAGTGCAGACAATGAGCCTGGCTGTTTCTTCCCAGCTGGCTTGCCAACATCTCCTCGACCAGCCAGAGGTCTGGACTGGGGGTGTACCCAATGAGGCCACAGCAGCTGCACGAGCCGCAGTCCTGAACCTCGCCCATTTACCCTCGGCATCGGGAGGGAGGGGAGGGGAATCGCAAAACCTCCAGCTGCAAAGTGATGATCGCATTCTCGCTTGCAGACTTTCGGGCTAGCTGTTTTCGAGCTGCAGCTGTACACACATACCCACGCACAAACAAAGATCCCCCGCGTAGCTTCATGCATGCTGTCGGGCCAAGTGCAATTAGTGTGCACCTATTAGGGGTGGCACAGCGCGCAAGGGCGTGGTGTTGCCAGAACAAACGTCCGGCCGCCTTTGTCTCCAAAATGCTGACACTTTACACACCGCATAGGGTACTCATTTAAAGCTGAGTCGACCTAGGACAGGCACAAAATAGCTTATTCTAGCCAAGCCTAGCTCTGCTGACCACGTGTGTCTCTGTGTGTTGTGGTAGTGCAACGTTAGCGCACGGCGCTACGAACCCTGGAAACCCGAGTTCGATTTCCACCACTGGGGAGACAAAGGTGGTCGGGCGTGGTACTGGCCACTCACCCCCTCGTATACCGTGCCAGCCTTCATAGGTGCTACTCGCTAACAGTAC